TGTTTAACTAATTTCTGTTTGTCTCTTCAGTCGATTTCACTTGCTTTTAGAGTTATTTGTGAGAGCAAGTCCATGACTAGCCTACCACCTGTCTATCAGTTGCAGGTGCTCCTTGAGACCTTACAATACCACATGAACTCCCAGTCTCTCTCGCTAAGGGAACAAGTACTGGCTGGTTTGTAAAAGGTAGAGAGAGAGGGAGGGAGAGATAGGTATATTATCAAGTCTACTTTTTAAGTTATTTCTTCGGATTAATGATGGTGTTTATCGTCTTGTGAAAGAAAAAGAGAAAAGCAAGCAAACAATTGACGTAAACAAATCAATAAATAAATACAAAGTAAGTTAATTATTATAATAATTGTAATATTTATTTATTATTTTTAGGATTTTTTGCATCAATTATTAACGCTTTGTTTTAATAATCTTGCTCATCCATTTGATAGTTTTCAAAGACGTTATTTCTCTTTATCAATTTTACTCCTAATGAGTGACCTGTACAGGAACCCTTCGGTGACCCAGTTTGAATTTTCAACACTGGTTCCAGATCAGTTGGCAAGGGGTCTGGTGTACGTGCTATGGGACACTTTTGAGTCCAACAGAATAATAGCAATTGAATTAATGAAAATATTTAATAACAAAAAAGAAATGGTGAGATTAATATGTTTTATTTAATATTTTTCTCTCATAGTTCAGTGATTTCGATATAAAATATCTCTCGGATTTTTGCCATAAATTAATCACGAGTCCAAAATACAACAATTGCTCCACTGGGTGTCATTTAATGTCACTATTACTGACCATTCACCCAACACAACTCGCATATAATTTCACACTGATTACTGGAACCCCTGCTAGGGGTCTTCCCCCTTCACTGACTTTGATAGAATCTCTATTGAGTGTTCTGGAGGATCACATGACCCAATGTAGGCGGAGCTTAGTAACAGGCTCTTTAAATGCTCCGATGTATGGAGTATTGCAATCAATTAATGGAATATTGAAATTAATAAAGTGAGTATATTCTATTATTAATAATTTTAATATTTTTATTAATTAGTGTGGGCGGTCTGTCACCCCGTGACTTGGAGGAGTGTCATGTAGTTATTAATAAACTATTAATGACTTGTACTGCCATTAGTGCACTGGTTTCTCCAGTGGTATGTAACAGCAGTCCTGAGGGTTTCATACCAAACGAAGAACAAGAAACAGACGTGAGAGAGAGAGAGATGGATTCTTTAATATTAATCCTTGTGTTTTTAGGGTGGAGCTAGTTGTCATGGAAACTCTCAATCAGTCCTGTTATGTTGCTGGCATTGCATGAAGGAGGTTATTCAAATATTCACAACTTTAATCAACCAAAAAAGATCAGGAGAGGAGGAGGGAGAGGGAAAGAAAAAGAGAAAAGGAACAGCTGCTGTTTCCATTGGAGGACTCCTATCAATTGAACAAGTAATTAACCGTGTGGGTGTTTGATCACTGATATTGATACTAACACTGATTTCTTATTGATACAGGTTGATTCAATCAGCTCAGTGTTGATACAGCAGTTGACGGAGGCTAGACATCGTGGTGCTTTTGAAATGGCTTATGTTGGATTTAGTTCATTGTGTGAGTATTTATGGAACTCTTCTCTTCCGTCTCTCTCATCAAGACCAGTTCAGTGGATTGAAGATCTCATTGATCTCTCATCTTTACAATCACTAACACAGACCAGGAGAAGCGCTGGACTTCCCTACTATTGTCTGGTAAATTAATAGTCAATATTTTTAAGTTGCTCAAAAATTGGCTCAAAGTCCCTGTACTATTATAGTATAGGGTCATTGGCCAAATTTTGCCAAAAATGACTAGGAGAGAATTCTCCATTTTTATTACATTTTCTGATGCATATACATGTACTTATGTTGTGTAGAAAGTTTGAACTGATTCCAATCAAAATTGGATTTTTTACGAATTTTTAAAGTTACTCCAAAATCAGTTAAAATTCCCTGTACTATAGTACATGGTCTCGGGCCAAATTTTGCCAAAAATGAAAAGGAGAGAATTGTCAATTTTTATTACATTTTCTGATGCATATACATGTACTTATGTTGTGTAGAAAGTTTGAGCTGATTCCAAACACTAATTGTTAGAGTTAATGATTATTTTATGACCACACCCATTTCTCCTTCTAGGCTATTGTGACGACAGAGCCAAAAGTTAACTGTAATAAAGGACTCAAAGAATTAATGACAGTTTTATTGAAAATAGCATCAGGGGGCACTTCTAATGAAGAGAATAATACAGAGGTTATTACTTATTATTATTATTATTATTATTATTATTATTATTATTATTATTATTATTATTATCATTATATCATTATTCCTTCCATTAGGCCGATCAAACAGCTGCTATCCACTCCATTAATATACTAAGAGGTCTAATAAGAGAATCAAAATTAAGCGAAGCTGTTGTCCCTTTCATTGCTCCTTCATTAATGATTGCTCTGGAGGGATTTAGCTCTAAATCATGGCCAGTAAGAGTTATCATCTTACTAGTCCATTCACTATCTCTTCTTGTTTAGGTTCGTAATTCCTGCACTTTGTTGCTCAGTGCTTTAGTGTCACGTGTCTTTGGCGTCATGAGGGGCCAGGACGAGAATAAAATGAGTACTAGAGAGTTTTTCACACGTTTTCTGTCGCTCCACGAGTTTTTGCTCGCAAAATTGAAAGTTTCCGTTAATAGGCTGGACCTTACTGAAGGAGACCGGTAAGTTTAACATACTTTAATTATTGTTTTTTTTTTTTTTAAGTTTGTTTCCAGTTTTGCTGATCCTTTCTCGATTGTTTCCATCACAATTTTTTGATGATAATCCTCAAATATCACTGGTACCATTCCAGCCATACATATTGAAGTAATTATCATACTTATTATTATTATTATTATTATTATTATTATTATTATTATTATTATTATTATTATTATTATTATTATTATTATTATTATTATTATTATTATTATTAGGGCAGCTGGATCCCCAGTGTGGAAATGTCGTGTTTTAGCATCTCAGGCTCTCCTTCCTACTTTGTCTCCATCCAGTGTAGTGGGTGTGGTCAATGACATTATAGCTAAACTTATATTTAGTAACCAGAACCTGTTACATGGTTCGTTACTGAGTATATCAGTTCTGTTAGGGCCTGATGGGGCCAACGCTGGTTTAATTAGTGTTTCATTAATTAAAAATATAATTAAAGGATTATTAGAGAAACTATGGATAGGAAAAAGGTAAATATTTATTCTATTTTTAAATAATTTTTTCTTTTTTGTAGGATTAATAAATGTTTAATAACCCGTGGTTTATTCATTCACTGTATCACACTCTGTCTCACTGGCTTAAGATCTCAGACTGATTCTGCTGCATTAACGGATCATTTATCATCTCATATCATTGATTCCTTGATTCTACTGATCAAAATCTGTCAGGACGATTTGGCTTTGAACGACAACAAAAATAACAATTCGATATTACTCCAGTTCTCTAATTATCAGTATTCTTATATTTCCGTCTTTCAGGAGTACTTTGGTAGTCGAGAAGATCTGTTGTCACCTCTTAAAGTAGCGCTGTTGTCATGGAAACTGCACCCCTTTGCAGAGAACATGTACTTGTCCATAAGAGAAGGATTACTCAATGACAAGTTAAGCAATGAAGAAATCACAAGTATTGTATCAGAGGCCATTGAAGAGACTAATAATGATAATCATTTTGTAAGATAATAGTCATATTAGTCTTTTTGATACCTTTCTTGTATAGAGTTATCATCTTTTATCATGCTTGCCTGTGGACTGGTATAAAGATGAAGGAAACAAGCATCTTGATATTAGCTGGCCTGATTTCTTTAAAAAGAGAATTTCAAAGCTAATTAATGAGCCACTACGGTAAGAGATAGAGAAAATTAACATTATATTCTTATTATTTTTTAGAGAGGACGTTAAAGTCTCCATTATCAGTTGGTTCAATACTGCATTGAAACACTTGCTGTATTCATCTATTAGTGATTCTCTTCCTACATTGTTGGAGTGTTTATTTAGCTATTGCAATGATAGTTCACCTGTTGATATCAGAATTGAAGTAGCAAAAGTGTTAGGACAGAAATGGACAGTTTTGCACAATATAGAGTCCTCTTCAGTACTGTATTGGAGAATGGTCTTTATATTATTGCATGATGTTGAGGCTGAAGTAAGATCAGCAATGACAGTCACTGTACAACAGAATATCATTAAAAGTAATAAGAATGATATTATTAGAGAAACTGCTAAATTATTGTTATTTTTAGGTGATGGTGACTCATCAAAGCTCGTAATGTGCCAGCAATTATGCATCAAATCATTGATTGACTTTATTGCTACACTTTACGATCCTCTGACCTCGTTTTCACTATTACTCTCTCTCTCATCTTTGGATTTTGATTCTTCTCCCTCTCCTGAGTCTACCCCTATTCCTACTAGTTCTGTCAGTTCACTTCTCTTTGAGGAAGACAGATCTAACTCGTACATTGAACCAGCACAACTGTTAATGCACATCTCTGTTGCTTTGAAATCTTTAATGGAGACATTAGATATTGAATCTTGCTCTTTAGCTGAGAATAAGTTGCAAAAGCTAACATCAAATTTTAAACCTGTTGATGGTTTAGATGCCAAAGAGATGTGGTTGGACAATCTTGCCCTGAATAATTATTACAGTTATATTTTGTCACGTGTTAATGAGACTCCTCAATAATTTATTAATTGTAATATGTATTTTTATAAAAATAAAACAAAAAAGAAATTAAGTTTTCACTCACAAAACGATCGACGTACCACATACACACGCCATAAACTAGTTAAATATATTCGTCACTAGGCTCGTCAGCTATTGGACTCTCAGCGTATCTATTGACTGGTTTTATGTAAGGAGCTGGGTTACCTGCCATACCATAGGCAGGATTATCAACCTGTCCACTTGGAGGAGGGGACATTCTCTCTTTATCACTAGGAGGATATTCATCATTAGCTTTATTGGGTTCAACTTGATTTAGATCAACTTGAGTATAAGTTGGATTATTAGTGATGTCACTATGAGGTGGCATGTGGTAGCTTGGTATTTCTGCATATTCTGAAACTCCTTCATTAGGAAGAGGCTGTGGGGGTCTTTGTCCATAAGAATCATTAGGAGTCATCATTGTCATTGTGTTCCAAGGAGAGTCGGGGACAACACCTGTTGGTTGAGGAGAACTGGACAGTAATTTGGACTCGGAGCTTGTAAACGTGCTAAGATGAGAATATGAATCAGTGTGGAGTCTTTGTAAATCTCTATCTCCTACTGGTACTTGGTTCTTTTTATTTCTTAATTTTACAATCAGCACACAAGCAACCAGTATTACAATAATGATTGCAATGGCTGCCACTGCAGCAAGGACACCAATACCAAGGTATAGATTACTCTCATTAGCACCTAGTGATATGAAGAAGACATGATGGCATTAATTATCATAATACTTACATTGTCTTGAAGTGTCACCAGTAGTACTACTACCAGGAGTTGCTAATGCTGTTTCTGTTACCGTATAAAGTAATGAGCTACCTATAAATATGTATAATAAGCATTAAATTCTGGTAATTCAATTATAATTTAGCAAAAGAAACAAAACGCTTGAGTAATAAACACTATTATTATTTAGGGTGGGCTAGTAGCATCTAAATATTCAGCTCACATTGATTAGGAGTGGGTTCTTTGTTTGTAGTAAAAGACGGTCCATCAACTACTGGAAAGTCTCCTCCAACATTTAGCTGTACTTCTGAGCGATAGTAAGAGTTAGGATTGAGCCCATTCAGTGGTATAAACAATGTATCAATAAGAGGCAGTGTCACTGATATTGAGCTTGAATCTGATTGGCTATCTAGTGAGTAACCCACTTCAAATTGAGCTGGAATCCCTTGGCATACTGCCCACGACATGTTTATACTCATCAGGGCCATTGTCGTGGTAACCAGAGATGAATCAGCACTTATGTTAGGGGTAGTAACTGAAAAGGAAGTTTGAGGTAAATTAAAATAATAATAATAATAATAATGATAGATAGAATATTATAGTACAGGAAGTGTGCCCATGTCACATATGAATGAATTGCATGATTACGCATCATTTACTACTTGACAAATGCTTTACATATTTATAAAGCTGTTACTACAAGACATGTATGTACATGCAGGTACATATAAGGCAGTTTTGAAATAGCAAAACATTGATAAGCAATTAAATAATAACTTACATATATTAGTGTATGGGTTGTTAGTACTTTCGCCCACACTGTTAGTAGCTGTGACTGATACTGTGTATAAGTGAGATCCACTTTGAACTGGTCTAGTAAGTGAATAGGGATGATTACAGCCAATGTGAGGTATGTATTGTGTATCAGTCTGTAGCCCTGGTGAAGTCAAAGTAACTGTATAGTTAGTGATTGGAGGACTTTGGATATTCATTGATGATGGACACTAAAAATGATGATAATAATGATGACAATAATAATAATAATAGTTAACTTACTGTCCATGTAACTTTGACTTCTCGAATTGAAGACATGCATGCTTCCAAGTTAATGGGTGGGTTAGGTTCTAATTTAAATAAATAAACTTAATTGTTTCTCACCTTACAAGGTATAGTAACATCAAAACATTTGGAATAATAATAATAAACAAAGTAGTGTTTTTTAAACTTGGTCTGTTTATGCTTCACTTTTAAGAACAATGAAAACAGAATATAGAACTGATGAAAGTCAGCAGTTCTAAAAACTATAACTGGCCTCCAATGAATAACAACTACTTCACAGAATTTTTGTTTTTCTTGGGGCCAATGTAAGCGAAGGTGACAGTACATTAGATAATCTAAACACTTACCTATTGCAGTAATGGTGACATTAAGAGTCTGAGATTGTCCTATCCCAGCACAATTACTAGCAGCAACAGTGATCGTGTATGTAACACCATATTGTAGATTAGTAATGGTAAGAGATTCAGTGTTATTACCGGTAGTCATACACTGCCCAGGACAAGATGATTGAAGTGATGGTGATATTGTGACCCTGTACTGACCTATTGGTACACCTCCCAATGATGTAGGGGTAGTCCAGTTCAATACAACAGTATCATATGTTGTAGTAGTATTAATGAAATTCAGTGGTAGACTAGGAATTGCTATATGGGGAGAGATCAGAGATAGTAACAGATTAGATCAGAAGGCAGTCAAGTTATTACAAATAAAGGTAACACTTTGATAAATCATCATAGATCATATGGAGGGACTAATGACTGAAAGTTTGGGTTTAGGCTAAATCATCTACGCATTAAAGTTTCCGCTGATGTGGGTTTTTAGGCACGTATATATATATATATATATATATATATATATATAGGCTGTAATTCTACAAACTAGATAGCTGTACAATGCTAATGCTTTCAGTATCTTTTAAATGATTCAATCCATGAGGACCAAGCGTATAAAACCCCTTCAATTTATTATCATTAACTTACTAGCTAGTAAAACAACAGCAGTATCAGTCATCCCCCCAGCAGAAAAGCTATCCTCACAAATAACAGTCGATCCATTATTAGAGCTCGTTGCATTTATAACTGCAGTAGATACCAGTGTGTTCCCTGATTTTGAGATCAGTCTTACAGTGAAGTCTCCCACCGAGTGAGCTACATTGAGATTACTGCTTGTGCTGTAGGCTTGATTGCTTCCTGAGGTCCACACTAGCTGGCCAGTATCAGTTGTACATGTAATCACTGCGTTAGTATTAGGACAAGCATAGTCATCATATTCCTTAACAAGGGTTACTGCAGTGGAGGAGAACACAGGGAAAAGAAATGGAGAGCTGAATAATATAAAACATTCAAGTATAATTTACCTGCTCCAGTTACTGTACTGGACAGACAAGCAAGACAGAGGAAGAAAAAAAGAGCAGAGCCAGAGAGAGAATAAAACATGATTAGATCCAATGAATGATGTCAATTTCTACAAGCCGCTCCCACAAAAAGCTAATTAGCGCACTTGCTGACTCAGAAAAGGGTGTTTACAAATTTACAATGAACTTGAACTTTGTACTCAAGAAAACACTGTCCTTCTTCCTCTCTGTCTCTTGATCTAGTTCCTGAGCTCCTCAGCTATGAGGATCTTATCATTCTCTCGTGTCCTCCTGTTGCTATTTCTCTCTTGTTTTGTTGCTATTGTCAGTCCAACAGGTATCTTAAAGGGTCTGGGAGTAGAGTAGTCAGTAGTAGTAGACACATTCTTTGCATGCATGATCTAGCTGCAGTGACAGCTGTATAGGTATGAAATGATGCATAAATTGTATTTGCTAATGGAAAATCTATTATTTAAATCTGAAGCTAACTTGCTTTTGTCTTCTCTCCTCCCTCTATTTTCTAGTAATCCTTACACAGAATGTCACTAATACTGTAGAAGACAGCATTACCGTTTTCCCTGGGATTACAATACAGATAACATGTGTAATTACTGGTTCTGGCTTTATACAGTGGATAGGTGATGGTGGTAGTTCAGTTATCAACAATGGTTCTCAGCAAGCTGCTACACTTGGTGATTTTAGTTTGATGCTTTTAAATATCAATGAATCATCAATATCGTCAACAGCAACAGCAGTTTCTTCATCCAATACTTCATTAACTTGTAGTGATAATGATGGTAACATTGAAACCATTGATATAATTATTAAACCAGTTGATCCACAAGGTAAGTAGAAGCATTAAAGCATCAATTAGTATTATTTGTTATTTTTTCTTATTTTATAGTTTATATGATACAGAATGTCACTAGTAATTCCAGTAATATAACAATATGTCCTAATGACCCCATTACCTTTAGTTGCCGCTCCACTACTGGTATATTGGTCTGGGAACTGGACGATGGACAAAGCATTTCTCTGACTAGCTTTGGAGAGATGAAAACCTTAGGAGACTTTGAACTAGTAGTTACTAATGTAACCATATTGTCACTGGAAATTGAATCAACTGCAACCATCAGTTCTCCTGTTACTAATTTCACACTGTCTTGTCACACTAATGTCACAAATGGACTTAATAGACTTAGTTCTGCAATAGAAGTTGCCGTTAGAAGTAAGATTTATCTTTTATTATCTTTATCTGTCGCTGATCACTGCTTTATCTAAATAAAAGAGAGGAGAGAGGGTGAGAGTTAGTAATGTATAGTGGTGAAGGGTCACAGTAATAAGTTATATCATGTTTACAAAAGTTGGACTTAAAAGGCAAAAGTATCACATTGTTGCATCAGTGTTTAGTTAAATAAACAGTATTCATTTGGACAACTTATTTCAAAGAATCACAACAAACTAATCTAATGTAAATTCACAACAAATATAAAGTTGCTCCAAAATTAGGACAAAGTTCCTAGTACAGGGACTTCAAATTTTACCAAAAATGAAAAGAAGAGATTTTACCATTTCTATTACAATTTTAATGCATGTATTTTACTATATTAGATGATTCCAAATGAGTTATGAGTATTATTTATTAATTGGCAGGTCCTCCTGTTCCAGTATCATCAGTCAATGTGTCAGAGGTTTGCTATGAAAGTATTTCATTAAATTGGACTGATACTATCAATTCAATTGACACACCACAACTGGATCATTATTTAGTGTCCGTAACTGCTCAAAATACTCAAATGGACTACATTGTTAATGGATTCAATACCAGTTTAACAGGACTGACCAGTAATGAACTATATACCTTATCAGTGGTTTCAGTTAACTGTGCTGGTAGTAGTAATCCAGTGTCATTTCAAAGGACCATTATTAGACAAAGTTAGTCATTAATAATAATGTATTTGATTGCTATTATTTACTGATCAATGTTTAGAGCCTTCTGTACCAACACTGCAAGGATTAGACCTTCTTTCTGATCGCAGTAATGCATCAATTGCCACTATATCCGTTAGATGGGAGGTTAGCTATTTCATTCTACCATTAATATCTATGACTTTATATCTTTAGCCTGGTGTAATGACAGATTGCCTACAGTCTCCAGTCACTAGTCATACTATAATAGTATCTGGAGTTATAAGGACTGTTTATACAGTTGATGGTTCAGTAAGTAATAGTACACTTACTGTACCATCTTGTGGTGCATCAGCAGTTACTGTGAGTGCAGTAAATGATGTTGATTCTAGTGACAGATCTGATTCAGAGATTTTTAGTAAGATAATCCTCATGGGACATTCTTATCTCCTCTCTCTTTCTTTTAGGAGGTACTCCATTGACATTAACTGTGTCTACTAGAGCAGTGGATGGAGATTCAGTAACACTCTCTGTTACTATAACAGAATGTCTTAGGTCATCAGTAGAGAATGTTACTGTTACCTATCGCAATGAACCTTCATTTGGTTACACTAGAACTGTATCTTATCCAAACAACAGTGCCTCAGTATCCATCACATTGAGTGATCTACTGTCTACTACTGATTATAATGCAACTGTAGTTGTATATTATAAAGAAAGTGAGAGGACTAGTGTCCTTGGACCTTCTTTTATCATGTTTGCTACGACTGAAGATTTATTTTGTAAGTGTTATCATTAATCTTTTTATTAATTCTATTTATAATTTTTACAGCACTTCGTGAAGCTGTCATCATTGGGCTATCAGTTGCTTTTGGAGTCAGTGTACTAATAATCGTATTAATTATTGCATTACTAAGTAAGATATGAACTCATCTATCAAATAGCATATTTATTTATTTCTTGCATGTAGTTGCTTTTTGCTACAAGCTCTGGGATCAGTACAAGTCTGGTATAACTCTCAGAAAGAAATTCAAGAGTTTGGTTTTGCGTCAAAAAGAAATCGAAGAGGAGCTGAGGGAATTGAGAGAAAGAAGGAAAACGATGAAGTCAATACGAGTCCCTCATGAACGAACAGACTTCCAAATGAGAGGCCCAGGAAGAGAAGCAATAGCTCGAACAGTTGAGGTCTCTGAAATGTAAAAATCCTTATAATTAGTTTAAATTATATAGCAAAATATAACATTCTTTATTTAGAATTTTGTTTTTATACCTCATGCATCATACCTTTTAATACTATTGCAGCATTTTTTAAGCACACAGCTGTTATTATTATTATTGTTTCCTGTTAAAAATAATTTTTTATTATTATAAAGACTCCACCCTACTTTGCAGTCCTTTATTCATGAGCAGTGTTATCATTAAAGATATTCATAAGTATTCTGCACATGTTTAGCATGCAGCCAGTACTGAACAATAACATCTCTATGAATAACCAGCCCTGACAACCTCATGACCAATCATATTATTATATAACAATAAAAGTAATAAATATAAAAATAGCTCATAAAAAACAATAATCGTTATAAATGGCAGCAGCTATAGCTTGATCTACTATGCATATATATGTGTGTGGATGTATATATACTATGTGTATATAAAAGTTTATTTGAACTCTCTCAGGTATGCTTCCTTTTCTGCAGTATTGAACTCATCATCATCATCTTCTAGACCAGCACCAGGATTCTCAACACCAGACATCATCACTCTAGACTGTCTCATCACAGTGGATTTACCCACCCTGCTCTTCTTAAAGAGGACATAAATAATCAAACTACAATAAAATATAAATAATAATAATAATAAAGACCATATTGTACTTACATGACTGTGATCACGATTGATGCTATCAGTATAATGAGAGCAATGGCTAAACCAACAGAAGCACTGGTAGAAGATACACTTCCTGACAGCAGATCGGTTGGAGGTGACGTGGTATTCATTGCACATCTCACACCAGCAACATTGACACTTGCAAATATAGCCCTTGCATCATCAACTGACAATGGGTCATTGGTACAATCAACAATACTGGACTCGCTCCCAGTGCAGGCTACGTTATTGTAAATGATTGTTTTATTTGGTTTGCCATAGTATGAACCAAGCACAGCTTCACCTCCTATAGAAATGATTGTTTATTAGTAGTAATAGTTATAATTTTGAATTACTCACCATTGGTATAATAAAGTTGCTTGCAGACAACATCAGCATTTTGTTTGCCCCAGTCATTGTCCGTAATGAGACCCCAGGTATTGTCGTAGCATACAAGGACTGTCCCCTCACTTGTTAAGTTTCTGTCATTAACCAACTGAACATCTCCAGTTGAGCACCCTTAAAAATAATAATAAATAAATAAATATAAATAATAAAATAAATAATAATAACAACAATTATTCGTTTGCTTACTGTCTTGACACCTCACGCCCACTACAGCACTACGTGAACATTCAAATGATCCAAACTCCTTTGGATTACAATCGACAATACTCCTCTCGTATCCATTGCATTGAAGGTCAGACAGAACAATAGCAACATCTCCATCACCAAAATAAGAATTATTGTACACAATCGGCTCTGAAAATAGATTCCAATGATTAAGTACACCAGTATGTATCAGAAAAAGTAATAAAAATTGGGGGTGATTCCAGAGCCATTTTTTGGAAATAACCATGGGCTATAGTACAGGGATTTTTCAGATTTTGGCCCATTTTTTTAAATGGCCGTAACTCAGAAAATTGAAGTCAGAATTGGCTCTAACTTTCTACATAGCATAAGTACATCAATATGTATCAGAAAATGTAATAAAAATTGGGAGTGATTTTTAAGTCATTTTTTGGAAAAAAACCATGGGCTATAGTTACCAGTATATCAATATGTATGTAAGTCTATTTCTTACCTGATGGTCCCACTCCAACTTCCTTGCAAGCCACATGAGCATCAGTTGTATCAAATCCAGTGGCACAGACCGAGCCCCAAATTCCTTTATGACAAACTTCAACTCTTCCTTCAGTATCAAATGATCCTCCAACTAGCCTTGTCTCTCCTTCAGCACAATTAGTCTCCTCTGTTTGTGTGAATAATTAGTAATATTTATATAATAATAATTGTAAGAAGTCTATATTTACCATAACACCTAAGTCCTAGTGCCTGTGGACATGTTGAAGGACATGAATCAAGTTGACACTCAAGGAATTGTGATACACCCTGAGAGCAATTGAAATGAGTAAAGAGACTAGTAGTAGCACCACTACCAAACCTTCCATCAGTGAAGACAACAGATACTATAATAATAATAAGAAATAAAGAATAATAATTACTAATTTATGTTAGCTGTAGTAATTGTGTGTGGGCGTTAGCTCAAGGTGCTAATTGAGTGTGTGGGCGTTAGCTCAAGGTGCAAAACTGCAAACTCTTACCATCAATATCAGCAAATCCAAGCTGCCTACATGCTACACTAGCTTCATTGGATCCAAGATAGCAGAAGTCAGACCAGGATCCCTGAACACAATACTGCAGTCTTCCTTCTTGTACTCCACTTTCCTGACCTCCAGTCAGTCTAAGCTCACCATCAGAGCATCCATCATTATTAGTGGGGGGAACTGGTACTGAACAACGATTGCATCTAACACCACCCACTGCTGTTGCCTGCTGTGAAATAGACTTCCCTTCATACAGTGAGTATGTTGTATATGAACAGTCAGTGATTGACATCTCAGACCCAGTGCAGGAGAAGTCACCATAGTGAACTGTCAGTGATGGCTTGGGGAAATCAGAGGAAGCTTGACTACCTGTAATAATAATAATGATGATGATAATAATAAATAAAGAGGCAGCTCTTGTACCTTCTTTTTCAAATCCTAATTGATAGCAAAGTATGCCAGCTGCATCATCTCCCCAGCCAGCCTCATTGACAGTACCCCAGAGATTATTAAAACATATTTCAACAGTTCCTTCATTAGCCACACTACCACCAACTAGACGCACATCACCATCACGACAATCTAAAAATATTCAATAAAGATCATTTTAATGTCATTTTTGGGTACCATATCCACAAAGCACTCCAGCAGTGTTGTATCTAGAGCAGGCGGTGTAGGTCTGCTTGTTACAGTCACTGAGTGAATTCTCATATCCACCACAAGCCACATCATTGTACACTATTGGATACTGACCAGGACCAAATGCAGAATTAGCAAAAACAATAGGCTCTGAAATAAAAGAAATATAAAATTGCTATTGTTATAATTATTATTTAATACCTAGTTCAGGGTGACCCAGTTGTTGGCATACAACATGAGCATCAGTTACATCAAATCCTTGATCACAGACAGCTCCCCATACTCCATTAACACACACTTCTACTCTTCCCTCATTATCAATGACACCATCAGCTAGTCTCAGTGCTCCATTAGTACAGGAGCCAGGATTGAAGCACCTTAGTCCAAGATTATACCGACAGAAAGGAGTGCAGTCAGTGTTTTCAGCAACTGCACATTGAGATAGTGAAGTCTCTGATCCAGTGCAAGTTATATTATCAAATAAACTAATGTTCCTTCCACTAACAAACTCTCCACCCTCTAGAATAGCACCCCCTAAAATAAATAAATAAATAAATAAGTATTTAAATCATTTTTGACTATACTTACATGAATATTGTGTGAATCCCAATTGCATACAAGCCACTTTAGCTACCATAGGGTCCATCTTACAGAATGGTGACCAATAGCCATTGTGACAGTACTCTACTCTACCCTCAGATGATGATCCACCCTGCAGTCTCACAGATCCATTAGTACATTCAGAACCAAAAGAATCATAAAGAACAGGTCTCTGGATACAAGGAGGATCAGTTGGAGTATCAAAAAGACAGTCCACCCCAGCCACACTGGTGCTGGCTAGTTGTGATGAGCCACTTGACAGTGAGTTTTTTATCTTAGTGCAGTTGTCAAGGAAGGTTTCATTTCCAAGACATGCCACGTTTCTGATGTGAATGGTCATGTTGGGTTTACCATATTGATTATTAAGAATTGCCAATGCATCTAAAATATTAATATAACAACAATAATAACAATGATGATAATAATTTCACATTATGTAACCTACTTCCTCCTCCAAACCCAAGCTGATAGCATACAACATTGGCATCATTCACGTCCCATTGATTATCAGACACAAGACCCCAGAGACCACCATAACAGATCTGGACTGTTCCTTCATTCTCAAAACCACCTCCAAGAAGCCTGACTTCACCATCCCTGCAACCTTGTTAAAATTAATAATAATAATAAACAAAAAATATAAAATAATATTAATAAAGGGATACCTTCTTTGCATACAACACTGGCAGTCTGAGATTGAGAACAAGATCCTGCAGGATATACATTCTTTGTGCACTCAGTAATGGATTTTTCCCAACCAACACACTTCACATTATTGTATACTGTAGGGAGATGACTGGCAACACCAAACTTTGAGTTATAATATGAGAGAGGTCCTGGAGAAAACAAAGAAAGCACATAATACATACAGCATCATTATTAGTAGGTTTACCTGTTCCAGTGTATCCAAGTTGATTGCAGACTATATAAGCATCAATAGCATTCCAGTCACCTTGACAGACTGTCCCCCACAGTCCATAGCTGCACACTTCAACTCTGCCTTCCTGCTCTAGTACACCATTGACTAACCTAACACTGCCATCAGTGCAGTCCTGTGATGCATCTATACAATATCAATAAGCATAAATAATCAGTAAAGCACAGAGTATTATTCTTACTGAAGCATTGTATACCAGCCTCCTTGCCACACTTTCCATAACTGATGTAACAGCCACCACTCCATGTCTTGTAGACTGCAGTGCACTGAGAGCTAATGTTGGTAGCACCAGCTGGACAATTGAGATAATTCAATCCGCTTCTCCTCTCACTTGTACCAAATCTCTCATCAGTATAGACAATAGCATCTGATGAAAGTAATCAGTAATAAATTATTGTTTATTTTATCTTACAAGGTGAAGTGAATCCAAGAGTTTTGCAAATTGCTGATGCAGTGGAAGCAGAAATTGAGCATAGAGGAGTCCAGTAGCCCTCAAAGCAATACATTGCACGGCCATTAGTAGAGTTTGTGCCATCTTGCAATTGAACATCACCATTGGTACACTGACTCCCTATCATGGAGGAAGCATAAAGGAGGAATATTAATGTAAGCTTACCTTGTACATTAGGATAGCAAGCAATACCAAACTGATCATGATTATGATAACAGTTTGAATGATAAGAATAGCTGCACTGTGATAGAGACTTGTGTCCAGAGTTGCAGGACCAGGCATAATGATCCACACCATCTCCTTGATAATAATACAGGCCCCAGTAGCCCTCTGATCTTGTAACTATAAAATGATCAATCATTAATTTAGTGTACAATTTTTGGACAGTTAGCTTGATCATTGCAAATTAAAAATTATCATTAAAGAGAAATGCAGTTACTTACACAGTGCTCCAGCAAACCCTAACTGTTGGCAGAAGAGTCTAGCAGTGTGGCAGGTAAAGCTATCATCACAGACTCCAATCCACCTGTTGCTCTTACAATACAAGGCTAATCCGTAATATTCTGGACCATCACTAGGACGCCAAAGAGCTACATCACCATTAGTACAGGTATTTGGTTTAAAGACTCCTATTATTAATTAATAATTATTCATGCTAAAGAGCTCAATATAAAATTTACCTATGCAGTGGATACCAGAATCTTCATTGTGACCACAGTTGTGGTTACCAACTCCGTTGTGAGGGCATGAAAAGAGACTAGCTTCGTTTCCAGAACAATGCAAGTTATCAAGAAAAATACTACCATATCCTTGACCGTAATATCTGGCACAACAAGAATAGCCTAAAACTGCAATAACAAAAACAACAATATTAATACTGAATAGTAACAAGAGTAGCAATGGTACTTACGGCTGCCACTATATCCTAGTGAAACGCAGGCCACTTTAGCATCAACCCAGCCAAAATAATCATCACAGACCGACCCCCACACTCCTCCACTGCACACTTCAACACGACCTCCTCCACGATATGGAGTCCCATTGCTATTTCTGATTTTACGAATGGCTCCATTAGAGCAAGTACCACCACCTTAAAAAATTGAAAAAATAAAGTGAAAAGAATACAATGAACTTACTTGCACAGGCTACACCAGCAATTTGGTTGTATCCACAGTTACTTTGTCCAATCCCAATTGATCGACTGCATTGCATTAGCTTTGTTTCAGTCCCAACACAGTTGAGTCTATCCAGATGTATAGGTACAGAGTTATTACCAACACCATAATAGGACCAGACACGATAGTAAGCTCCTGCAGCAGCAGCATTAATGAAGTGAGTGAGAAGAAGAAGCTCACTAACCTGGAGCTGTGTATCCTAACTCCTTGCAAGCTACTTGGGCATCAGGGGTTCCAAAGCCATTCTGACATATCCAGCCCCATACCCCACCAATGCACACCTGAAGGTTGCCCTCCCACGGGCCATCTCCCCACACAACACGAGTCAAGTTCTCTGTGCACTGAGAATCTATGCGGCAGACATTGTTAATGAGTTCGAAGAAACTTACAACTATCTAATACTCACCTACTCCTACTGCAGCAAAGGCTGCCAGAGCTAGCAAATAATAAAAGAAAGCCCCCATATCACAGCGACTTTTTTCAAGAGAAACAAGAGCGCAGTACGTTCTTACTGGGTGGTCTTTGCAGTGTCAATTATTTTTATTTGTGGAAAATCATGAGTCACGGGGCCCACACGAGAAGTTGATTGGGCGAAACTGCACTACAACATAGATATCTATGACTACAATGAATAGTGTAAAATCACAGGAAATTTAAGTGCAGACTATAATAAGAAAGTCTTCAATGTAAAAGGAACATAAAATATTAAGTATATATAAAAGCAGTAAACAATGACAAAAACAGCTTTGAATGTATATGCATGTATGTGAACAAAAGAGCAGCAAAGTCTTTCATGTATTACATTTTATTTAATCTATCAACTAGTTCATCTTGATCAGCAGTGTTGAAATCCTCCAGTCCCTCTTCCTCCAGCCCCACCATTGGATTGTTAACTCCTGTATCGCCCAACCCAGACATCTTCACTCTTGGCTCATTAAGAACAGCATTTGTCCGGATCACTTTCTGACGCATGAAGAAAACATAAAGAATCATACTAAAGGAGGAGAAACAAACAAGAATTAATATTATATTCCATGTTTGCTTGTTAGACCTTGTTTATACTCTCGTAGCAATAATTAAGATGTGCTTGCATGTAGATAAAAAAGGTGACAAAATGTTACATGCACAACTTATCATGAAGGAGTTTCAAAATGCATTCTTTATTAGTATCACATTGACTTACCCAATGGTAATCAGTATAATAAGGATTAGGAATATCATTACAATAGCTAGTCCGACTGCTGCACTATTGGTAGACACAACTTCAGAAGTGCCACTAGTAGGAGCAGGAGTAGAATCTACACACATGACACCAGCTACTGCAACATGAGGATACAGCGAGCGTCCATCATCAGGACTCAATATGCTGGATTGACAATCTTGCAGTGAGTTTTCAGTCCCTCCACAATCAACTGAGCTTAGCACAATGGTCCTGTTTGGCTTCCCATAAGCAGAACCTCTGACAGCCGTGCCACCTATAAAATAATAAATATTATAATTCTTTTTCATGATTAGTATACCTGTGTGTCCCAATTGAGAACATACAACTCTTGCTGCATTGTCAGTCCATGAATTATCAGATATAAGTCCCCAGGTGTTGTAATAGCAATATTGTACAGTTCCTTGAGTGTTTGTAGTTCCACCAGACAACTGAATATCACCATCTTGACAATCTGCAACAAAAAACAAAGGAAGTATAAATCATCAGGAAATTGAGCAGGGGACATTGGGTAAATTTTACCAAAAATTAAAAAGTGAGATTTTACCACTTTTATAATTTTTTTCTGACTTATATTGCATATTTTGCTTACTTTCTTGGCAGACTATTCCTATGACATTATCACGAGAACATGTAAATGATCCATAGTCTTTCTTAGCACAGTCCAGTACTGTAGGCTCATATCCTTTACAGTCAAGCTCTGATATAACAATGGATCCATCTCCATCACCATAATAAGAATTATTATACACAGTTGGCTCTGGATCATAAATAAAATGAATGCTTGACTTTCAAAATACTTACCAAGCAGACCATAGCCCAGTTCTTTACAGATCACGTATGCATCAATTGCAGTAAATTTATTAGCACATATGGTTCCCCAAATGCCATTACTGCAAACCTCAACTCTTCCTTCAGTTGTAAAGCTGCCATTAACCAAACGGACACTTCCTTCCATACAATTACCAGACTCTATAAATACAATAAAATAACAGCTCAACTCTTTATTCTGCTCTATCTTACCATAGCATCTTAATCCAATGGCATTAGGACAAGTTGATTGACAAGTATCAATGACCTGACAGTCACTGAGCAAACCAGCATTTGGGTTAGCCTCACAAGTGATGTTCTGGAATAAACTGGTGTTTGAAATACTTCCAAATCGACCATCACTAAATATAACAGTCACTAAAAACAAATGAATAAATAAATAAATAATAATTCAGTTATTTCTTACAGTCATAGCTGGAATATCCCAACTGTCTACAGGCAACAGTAGCCTCTGTGGTCCCAAGGTAGCAGAATGGTGACCAGTACCCTCTGTAGCAATACTCTAGATTGCCTTCAGGGATACCACCTTGACCTCCTCTTTGTCTCAATGCTCCATTAGTGCACTCACCACCAGTAGCAGCAGGAGGAGGGACACACTGATCAGGAGTGTAGCACTTGACTCCAGCAACATCATCAGTAGCAAGGAGTGCTTTCCCTTGAGCCAGTGAAAGTGTTGAATAAGAGCAATCACTGAATGTAGCCTCATCTCCATTGCAGGAAACATTCCTGAAGTGTATCGTGAGGTTATTTGGTTTTCCATACTGTGAACCTCTTACAGCAAGAGTCCCTATAAAAATGCCAAATAATAAATAGTAATAATAGTATAGTGTAATGATAAATAATAACAATAAGTAATAATAGTGACGATGATGATGTAATGATAATGGTTTACCTTCAGCTTGATACCCCAGTTGCTGACAGATAACTTGAGCAGTTGACAGTGTCCAGACTGAGTCAGATATCAGGCCCCAGAGGTTATCAAAGCATATCTCAACAGTCCCTTCATAATTCCACTGACTACCAACAAGCCTAATATCACCATCAGTACAATCTGAAGTATAAATAACCAATTACAATATTAGTAATGATAAATATATGACACTCACCATATCCACAGAGTACTCCAGCTACATTGTTACGGGAGCAGGTAGTGTTGGGGTAGGTCTGTTTCTGACAGGCAGCAAGGGAATTCTCATATCCACCACAACCAAGATTAGAATAGACTATTGGGAACTGACCAGCACCAAATGTAGAGTTTGTGAAGACATAGGGCTCTGAAATAATAATAAAGTATTATTATTATTATTATTATTATTGTTACCTAGTTCAGGGTGGCCCAGTTGTTTGCATACAACGTAAGCATCAGTTTTATCAAATCCTTGATCACAGACAGCTCCCCATACTCCATTAACACACACTTCTACTCTTCCCTCATTATCAATGACACCATCAGCTAGTCTCAGTGATCCTTCAGGTGAGCACTGATTAGAAGGTATTGTATTATCGTAACATCTTAGCCCAAGGTTGGTACTGCAGTACGGAGTACAGGATGGGTCACTGGGCACCAGGGTACACTGGGTTATGCTTGACTCTGATCCAGTGCAGCTAACTCTGTCAAACAAACTAATGTTCATTAAATTGGCTGTAGCATAATTCCCATTATCAATTATAGAGCCCCCTATAAAGCAGTGAAAACAATGATAATAGCAATAAAAATATTAGCACTTACATGAGTATGCAGTATAGCCTAGATCATTGCATGCAATGGAAGCAGTGACAGGGTCCATGTTACAGAATGGAGACCAGTATCCATTGTAGCAATATTGTACGCGACCATTACCAGGTGAATCGTCAGGATTTATCCTAACGGTCCTATTCTGAGCAGCTCCACACTGGTTCCCTTGTGTATTGTATAGAGGAGGAGTAGCAATGCAAGGTGGATCAGTTGGCACGTCATAAATACAGTCTACACCAGCCACTTGAGCAGTGACTAGTTCCTTTTTGCCGTTGTTTAGTGAGAGCTTTGTCTTAGAGCAAAGGTCAATGTTAATCTCATTTCCAGAACAAGCAACAAACTTGAGATGTATGGTGAGGTTGGATTTACCATAAGACGAACCAGTAGTAGGGACAGCATCTAAAAATTAAAAAAATAATATTAATAATAATAATAATAATAATTTAAATATAGGTTCTTACTTCCTCCAGTGTATCCTAGTTGATTACATACTACTCTAGCACCATTGGCGTCCCATCCCTGATCAGATACCTGTCCCCATCTTCCACTATAACAAACTTGTATGGTCCCTTCGTTCTCAAAGTTACCACCAACCAGTCTCACTTGACCATTGGCACAACCTGTTGTTATAAATAAATAAATAAATAAATAAATAAATAAATAAATAAATTAATTAATTAATTAAAAACACTGAGTAAAAGAACACAGTATACTACTAGTATATGCTCACCATCTTTGCAGGCTACACCCACAGTGTTCTGTACAGGGCAACTGTCATAAGGATATATTGTCTTCTGACAGTCAAAGAGTGTGTTCTCCCACCCATAGCATAGGACGTTCTTCCATGGAGCTGGGCCAGTGGCAAGACCAAAGGTTGAAGTCCAATAAGTTGTAGGACCTTAAAAATAAATAAATAAATAAATAGATAAATAAATAAAGGAATAAGAAATAAAATAATACCTGATCCTCCATATCCTAGTGATCTACACAATACAAAAGCATCAATGGAGTTCCAGCTTCCATGACAGATAGCACCCCAGAGGCCATTAGTACATATCTCTACTCTTCCTTCCTGCTCTATTGTTCCATTCACAAGTCTAAAACTGCCATCAGTACATTCACCAATATTATCTATAAAATATCAAAATAAATTATTATTAAATGTCAGCGCATGCTTACTGTAACATTGGACGGAATATTCCTTGCCACACCTTGAGACACTGCGCCAGCAACCACCGTTACCTTTACGTATAGCAGTACACTGGTTCAAGTGGGTAGCTGAAGTGGGGCAACTTAAGTAGCTGAGACTACTTGGGTTATTATTCCTTCCATATCTTTCATCATTATAGATAGAAGCAACTAAATAAATAATAATAAAATAATAATAAAGTATTTCAATATTAATTTCCATACAGCTCGTGTTGAATCCCAGTGTTCTACAGACTGCAGTAGAAGCTGGAGCTGATAGGCCACAGAGTGAAGCCCAACCACCATCAAAGCAATACTCTACTCTTCCATTGTTGCTACTAGTACCATTGACTAGCCTAACTGTTCCAGTGGTGCACTCTGATTCTGTAAAATAATAATAATAATAATAATAATAATAATAATTGTTTATATTAATAATTATGTTTCTTGGACTAACTTTGATCTTTTGGGGTACACATAATACCAAACTGGTCATGATAAGCATTACAGCTGGAGTGATAATAGTAGGAACATTGAGATAGTGAGGTATGAGAAGCACTACAGGACCAAGCATAATGATCAACACCATTGTTCCCTAGTGTACTGTAGAAATATCCCCAATAACCTTCACCTCTATAATCTATAAGAGATTAGTATTGAATTAGATACAGTCATTGTTCAGTGAAGCTTACAAAGAGCTCCAGGGTAGCCCAACTGTTCACATATAAGTCTAGCAGTGTGGCAGGTGAAGCTATCATCACAGACTCCAGTCCATTTGCTGTTCTTACAATACAGAGCTAGTCCAAAATACTCTGGACCATCACTAGGACGCCATAGTTTTACATCACCATTAGTACAAGAAGAAGTTATAGTACCTGAGTTAAGTACAGGTGGTAATAGGTATGGCTATAACTTTAAAAAATTTAGACAAAATTGGTTCAAACTTTCTACACAGCATAAGGGCATCAATATGTATCAGAAAATGTAATATAAATTAGAAGTACTAATATTATTATTAATTTACCAGAGCATCCGATTCCAGCGTCATTGCTACCAGCACAGTTAGTTGATCCCAATGCTCTTGAATTGCAGGATATCAGTGAAGTCTCAGCAGATGAACAAGCAACATCATCATAAACATACGGACCATATCCTTGACCAAAGTACCTTGAACAACAATAAGTAGCAACTCCTATATTCATCATAAGAATCATGATAATCTTTTATAATATAGTCTACTTTACTTTGTTTGGTGAAGCCCAACTCATAGCAGGCAACTTTAACGTCATTACTGCCCCAGGAATCATCACAAACTCTTCCCCATTGACCGTTGTAACACATCTCAACACGACCGTTGCCTCTAAAAGGTACACCATTGTTGTTCCTTATCCTTCTGATCTGATTACCAGTACAACCACCACCGCCTACACAAAAAATTAAACTAATTTTAAAACCATTATAATAATAAAATGTTTAAGTCATCTAGTATAATATATTTTAAGCATAATATGCATTATTAGCTTACTTGGACAGACAATCCCAATTATCTCATTATACAAACAGCTAACGACCCCAACTGGATACGGTCTTGGACAGTCAATAATCCTGTTTTCATTACCAGCACAGTTGAGCCCATCAAGCAAAAGGGGAGTTGATATATTACCCAGACCATAATAAGACCACATGCGATATGCAGCTCCTGTAATAGAATCAATATAGTACATGTATATATCATTGCAGTACTCTACTGACCTGTTGTTTGGAATCCAAGCTGTCTGCAGGCAACTTGAGCATCAACAGTTCCAAAGCTATTGTCGCAGACCCAGCCCCAGTTACCGTTAATGCAAATCTGCAGGTTCCCTTCCCATGGGCCACTACCCCAAACTAATCTCAGGTCATTCTCAGTACAAGACTGAGATTCTACAGTAATTGAATATTATAAGACTAGGCTGCATGATAAACTTACTGCTGGTCACAATAAAGACAGATAGAAGCAACAATAGACTGATCCTCCCCATTGCTTTACATGCAGCAACACACACCAACGGAAAGAGATGAAGAAAACAAAATTTTGGGTGGTCCCGCATAAATTATATTCATAAATCAGAATCCACCCATGAATGGAGTAAAAATACAATAATAATATATGAGCTAGTTCTGTTCAGCATGTGATGTGCATGTGCATAAACTGCAGCAGTTAATCTATCTATAGCAGAGGTCCATGATATTCATAATCATTCGTTCATTAGCTGTAGCATCTCATCGTCTTCTTCTTCATCATCTTTCTCTCCGTTTGGCCACATGTTTGCTGTAGCCATTGGATTGCTTGCATCTTGTGGGTCACTGTTTAGCGTGACTATTGGAGAATACCTCTTTGGGCCTTTCCTCCACTTATAAACCATAAAAGCAACCAAACTAAAAGAGACAGAGAAGCATATTACATAGCTCAAATTAAAACTACATTATAATGCAGATCCTTACCTAACAGATATTGCAATGAAGAGTGCTAGTAATAATGATAGCACTGTTAGTCCTATACCGGATGATGAGAGGCGATGCGATGAAGCTGAAGGTGGTATTGTAGCTGCACTGCATCTAACACCAGCAACATTAGCTCCAGCTAAACCACTGCTTTGATCTTCAGATAAGTGAGTATATTGACAACTACTGATGGAGGATTCAGACCCACTGCATTGAGTGTTACTAATCAATACTGGAGCGTTAGGTCTGCCATATGGTGAGCCAATCCTTGCATTACCACCTTATAATACGAGATCAATATTTATGCATCTTTCATATTTGATTACCTTGGAAGTTGAGCTGTCTGCAAACAACTTGAGCTTCTGAATCACTCCACCCTCCATCAGTGACCAATCCCCATGTGTTGTAATAGCATACCTCTACAGTTCCTTCATTGGAAGATGACCCATTGATAAGTCTCACAGCACCATTACTGCAACCTGTGGAGTATATTAACAAGTGTCACTTATAGCAGGATATTAATTGCCTATATAATTTTATACTAGTAATAGCAACAACCATCAACCATGCACTGTAGAAAAGCTGTTTATTAGTGTGAGACAGTTAGTATGAATATAACAATATTGATATCTGATATACTATTTGCTGCACACCCACTGTAATACATTGTTACTTTATACAGGATTTTATTACTATACCTTCTTGGCAGGCAACTCCTACTACGTTATTCCTAGAGCAAGTGAACATCCCATAAATCTGCTTATTGCAGCCAACAATGCTGGACTCGTATCCTTTGCATGATGTATTGTAGTAGACTATAGCTCCATCACCATCACCATAGTGAGAATTAGTATACACAGTAGGCTCTGTATAAAGGAGAGAGAGGGTGTGACAGTACTAGTAAACAGTGGATATTGATCATGTTTCATGAACTATAGCCTGTTTATAAAGTACAAACTCCTGTAAGACAATATGTGAATCAAGGTCATTGCAGTAGCATATAAGAATGATACTCTGATACTTTTCTAGATACTTTTAAAATACTAAATTCTTTTTTCTTTTTTTGTTGCTATTCTTACCTGACATTCCAAGTCCAAGTTCTTTGCAGGCAACAAAAGCATCAGTCACATCAAATCCAACACCACAAACTGATCCCCACACTCCTTTATAGCACACCTCCAGTCTACCCTCAGTTTTAGTACCATTGACTAATCTCACCTGACCTTCTTGACAATTTGCAGCATCTAAAACAACAAAAATGACAATAATAATAATAATAACTAGCGGTATTACCATAGCAGCGAAGTCCGACAACATTTTTGCATGTTGACTGACAGCTATCAGCTATGAGACAGTCTCCTAACTGGTTGGCTGCAAGATTGAGGGCACAGGAAATATTCTGAAATAAACTAACACCAGCCAGGGAACCAAACCTGCCATCAGTAAAGACAGCAGTCACTGTAGAAGAAAAATAAAATAAAATAAATAAATAATGATGTAAAATAGTACTATCTTCTTACTGTCATAGCTAGTGTGTCCCAACTGTCTACAGGCAACAGTAGCCTCATTGGGTCCAAGGTAGCAGAATGGCGACCAGTTTCCTTTATAGCAAAACTCCAGTATGCCTTCTCCATTATTGCTACCACCGACCAGCTTCACACTGCCATCACTACAGGCAGTGCCTGAGGACGGAGGAGCTACACAGTTTGCTGGTATATAACACTTGACTCCGGCCACATCAGTAGTGGCTAGTTGTGTCTTTCCCTGAGATAAGGAGTATGTGTTGTAATTGCATTGACTAATGGAGTCTTCAGTACCAAGACATGCAACGTTACTTAAGTGCAGCCTCATGTTGGGTTTACCAAAATGAGATCCAGTTACACTTTGTGTACCTAAAGAAATAACAATAATAAACTCAGTATTGATAAACTTTATACTCTTCCTTTATACATTAATGGTAATACAATCTATCATTAGTGTCATTATTATTACTACTACCTGATGTTTCAAATCCTAACTGTCTACAGACCACAACAGCATCTTGCTGGCTCCAGTTAGTATCAGCTATCAGTCCCCACAGATTCTCAAAGCAAACCTCCACTGTTCCTTCGTATGTAGCACTGCTTGATAGACTATTGACCAATCTTACATCACCATCATTGCAATCTAGCAAAAGATCAATAAAATAATTATGTTTATTATAATTAATCACTTACCATATCCACAGAGCACTCCTGCAGTGTGCTTACGTGAGCAGACAGTGTTCTCATACTGTACTTTGTTGCATTGAGTGATGGTTGATTCCCATCCACCACAAGTCACATTGGAATACACTATAGGATAAGTACCATCACCAAACTCGGAATTAGGGAGAACAATTGGCTCTATAAATAACACAATTATAATTAAAATTATAAATAGAGGGTTACCTGTGTCAGGTAGTCCTAGTTGTTTACAGACAATATTGGCATCAGTTTTAGTAAACCCTTGATCACAGACAGTGCCCCACACTCCATTAACACACACTTCAATCCTTCCTTCATTCTCTATTATTCCATCCATCAATCTCACGGCTCCATTGGTACATATTCCCTGATTGAAGCACCTTATTCCCAGGTTTTTAGAGCAGAAAGGAGTACAAGATGAAGGAGATTGGTGGTATGTACAATGAAATGGTGTACTCTCAGTTCCAGTACAAGTGACATTATCAATTAAACTGACATTCATTAAGTTACCAAACTCTCCTGATTCAATGATACTACCGTCTAAAAGACACAGTAACAACAATATTAATGATAATAATAATTGTATTATACTTACATGAGTATTGACTGAATCCAAGGTATCTACAAATGACCATTGCTAGTTTATTATCCATCTTACACAATGGCGACCAGTATCCATTGTAACAATACTCTACCCTGCCAGCACTCTTGGTGCTATTCTCAGTGAGTCTTACAATATTATTTAGTGGTACACACTGTGGCCCTGGGGTTGTATCATAATATGCTGCTTTGGTGCCACAAGGAGGATCAGTAGGTTCATCATAAATACAGTCTACTCCAGCTACATTAGTGGTAGCTAGTTGCTTTCTGCCTCCCCATAGTCCCAATTGATAGTTAGCACAGTCTATCAGCTTCAGTTCATGCCCGGAGCATTTGACATTCTTTAGTAATATCCTGTTATTGGGCTTGCCAAATGCTGAACCAGTGTAAGGTTTGAATACTACAAAAAGAAACAACAACAATAATAACAACAACAATAATGACAACAACAATAATAACAATAATAACAAATACACTATTTAAACACAAGTGCCCTTCTTCTTACTTCCCGATGTGAATCCTAGTTGCCTGCAGACGACTTTAGCATGACTTGCATTCCAGCCAGCATCAGAGACGAGGCCCCACATATGATCCATGCACACCTCAACCGTCCCTTCATTAGCAAACCCACCACCAACAAGCCTCACGTCACCATCAGAGCAATCTATGTTGAAACATTAATAATTTGAAGTTTGGTACGGAATTATGAAAACATAGGAATGAAATGTGACAAAAAAGTTTCATTTACCGTCTTTGCAAATGAGTCCAATAGTGTTTTGTGGTGAGCAGCTGATGCTTGGGAAGGTATCTTTAGTACATTCAGTAAGAACAGTCTCCCATCCTTTACACTTTAAGTTGCTGTACACAATGGGGCCTGTACTCTCGCCATATTTGGAACGATAATAAACATTAGGCGCTATACAAGAGAAAAGGAATAATGTATAAAGTATATTTTATTAAAATTGAAAAAAAGTTAAGTTGCAATCAGTTAATGGGATGTATAGATGAATACGTGAACAGCAATGAATATTAATAATGCATTGTTGTCAAACTTCATGTGATTTTGGAATGACTGGAACTGGCTCTGTTTAATGATTATAGTGACACTCAGTAAAATGTTTTATTAGCATGAATGATGTCAATGAATATTAATCAATCATTGTGGTGAGCTGACAGGTGACTGTTAATGAATATCGTTAAGTTGTTGACAGTTAAAAGACTCAGAAATGAATAAACTAAAGTAATTCAATACAGGGCCTCATGTGATGATGCGTATAAATAAAAATAATGGAATATTAAGCGTTGTATGATTGAATAATCATTAATAATAATAATAATAATTACTAGCTTACATGGTCCATTATATCCAAGCTCTTTGCAGATGACATAAGCATCACTTTGACCGAACCCGTTCTGACAGACCGAGCCCCATATGCCACTGAGACACACTTCAACACGACCTTCTTGAGCTAGCGTACCATTAACCAGCCTTGACTGACCATCAGTACAAGTAGTAAAAGCTGTGTCTATTAAAAATATAATAATAAATGATGAGGTACAATCGTTTGTGAATATAATGTATTATTAAAGTGATCTTATGGAAGCTATTTCTCAATTATAATGTTCAAGTATCATCAAAACTTACTGTGACATCTTAGTCCAACTTCGGTGGTGCATTTTGATACAGAAGTGAAGCAAGCCGATCCTTTCATGGTGTTATTGCACTGACCCAGTGATGGAGTGGTAGAGGAGCAAGAGAAAGTATTAAATACACTTCTAATGTCAGATCTATTGAACCTTTGATCATCAATGATTGTAGCCACTGAATAAATAAATTAATTAATTAATAAATAATAATAATAATAATTCTTACAAGTTGAGTTATAGCCAAGTTGTTTGCATATTAAAGATGCAGCAATACCAGTGAGACTACAGACTGGGTTCCATCTTCCTTCATAGCAGTACTCCACCCTACCCTCACTGGTTGTGTTACCATTCTGAAGCCTCACCTGTCCATCCGTACATGTCTTACCTGTTGGAGCAGAAAAATAATTTATATTATAATTGTTAAATAATAAGCATAATTTTCTACGAATTACTACAGTAAAATTTTGTGGATGGGTAAGCAACAATAACTCAAAAATGAATGGAATCAAAAAATACATTTTATGTATACATTTCATCATTAATGGTCACAACTAACTTATGATTGGTTTGTAACAGATGACTCCAATCTGGTCGTTGAGTGACGTACAACTTGAGCGATAAGTATAAGAGCACTGAGAGAGATCAGTATTGGTGGATCTACAGTAGAACCGATAGGTATCGGTCTGCTTGTAGTAACCATAGTACCCTTCCCATCTAGTGTCTGAAAGAGAAAGAGAGAGAGAGAGAGAAAGATTGTGATATAGCAATCATGATTCCTAGCCAGTGTTTCATATAGTACTAATAAGTGATGAAATGTCTACTCACTAAGAGCTGCAGGGAAGCCTAACTTCTTGCATATAAGTCTAGCGTTATGACAGGACCAACCATCATCACAGAACCCGACCCAGCGACTGTTGTTACAGTACAAAGCAAGACCGTCATTATTGGGACCTATACCATAAGGTCTGAATAGCTTCACAGCACCGTTTGTACAAGAACCAGTCACTTCACCTATAAGCAATTGCAGTAATGATGATAATAATAATAGTGATTATTTAAATATACACAATTACACAATCATTCTTTACCTCTGCAGCCAGCTCCAGCATCTTTAGAATGAGAACAAGTATTAGCTCCAAAGTTATCGTGAGTACAAGATGTCAGTTGGTTATTAGAGGAAGTACATCCCATGTTGCTTAACCAGACCGGCCCATAACTTTGACCATATGTAGCACAGCAGTATGATGAAGCAGCTGATGGAGTGAGACAAGTAACAACATAGCTACAATACATTAATATATATACAGTGCATGAAGTTATTTTTGTTGTATAAACAAACTGACATTAATCAAAGCTGTTGTATTCGTAGCTGGCATTGGCTGCCAAGAATAATAATATCAACAATCAAGTCAAACTAAAACAGCCATAACTTGAAAAATTGAAGTCGGAATCAACTCAAACTTTCTACATAGCATAAGGGCATCAATATGTATCAGGAAGTGTAATAAAAATTGGAGGTGATTGTGGAGCCATTTTCGAAAAAAAACTATGGGCTATAGTACAGGGGATTTTTCAGATTTTGGCTCATTTTTTCAAATGGCCATAACTTAAACAATTGAAGTTGGAATCACCTCAAACTTTCTACACAGCATAAGTACATCAATATGTATCAGAAAATATAGTAATAATTGTAAGAGCAAATATTTCATAATATGATTACCTGATGCAGTATATCCCAACTGTCCACAGGCCACTTTAGCATCAGGTGTACCCCAACCAGAATCACAGATTGATCCCCAGCGATTACTGTGACATATCTCTACACGTCCATAAGATTTAAATGGAGTCGATGCTTGATTTCTCAGTAATCTAAGAGAACCTTCAGAGCAGTTAGGATTAGCTCCTTGATCTGAATAACAGTAATGAAACTGACATTTTGTGCTATTATCACTTACTTGGACAAAGGACAGCTGCCAATGCGTTATGATTGCAAGAAGCATCGCCGATTGCTTTAGGCTGTGGGCAACTCATGATATTACTTTCTGTTCCATGACAGCCTAGCTGATCCAACCATATTGGTAGACTGGGATCAGGCCAGCCATAATAAGCATATCTCCTGTACACAGAGCCTAAAGGAAAAACAAAAAACAACAATAAAATAACAATAACCAAGGAAATGTTTTGTTTACCAGTAGCATTGAATCCAAGCTGCCTACAGACCACCTTAGCCTCGTTAGTGTAGAAGCTATTCTGACAGATCCATCCCCAGCCGCCATTGAGACATATCTGTACGTTACCCTCCCATGGTCCAGCACCCCACACTAGTCTCACAGATCCTGAAGGTGAGCAAGCCTCAGGAACTGCAGGAAAAATAAGAATAAACGCACGACTCTACACCCTCTACACAACTCCTTATCTCTTCATGCATGGAGTATAGGGACTTTAGTAGTTCATTTTACCTGCTTTTCTTACTGTAGCTAGTCCAATGAGGACAAACAAAGCGAGTTGTATCTTCATGTTTTCTTTCCTTCCTTCTTTAAAAAATTTGGGCGTTGGCTCGTTTGATAACAATCAACTAATTTATTATTCATAGACTTTGAAAAGTAGCTTCAGAAAAATGCAAGCAGCATATGTATAAGTGTCAAAATAATGGAGTAGTTTTTAGCAGCTGTGTATTGTGGGAATCATGTGCATGTGTGTTGTTTTATATAATCTATTATACTGTAGCAATTATTTAATTAATCTTCACTGTGTACAGCAACTTCAAATCCTTTATCATCATCATCATCTTCTACAGCGTCTTCATTAGCTGTTAGACCAGTTGAATCAGCAAAAGAGTATCGAGCTGGTTTCACTGCATCAAACAGGCCAGGGGCTGCTATAGGATTAGTAACACCTCTTGATGAACTGGAGTAGTCCTCTGACACTTTAGGTAGATCAACAGTCAAGTAACCCTGCTTTCTCTTATAACAGACAAATACAAAGACACTAGTAAAAGAGAGAAAAAAGATGTTAAATTAATTAAAAAATATAAATTATTTAACTTACAATCCCATCACGACAATAGCAGCTACCAGTAATATAATCATAAATATCATAGCAGCTGTTGTGCCATTGACAGACGAGCCACTACCAGCTCCACTGGTTACTGGCGGTATACAGACCACTCCAGCTGCACTGGTGCCATTATAAGCTGCTTGACTCTCCTCTGGCGTTAGCTGGTTGCCAGGACAGGTGCTCAGGTTAGCTTCTCTACCACTGCAACCTACATTACTTAACTGGACTGGAGCATTGGGTTTACCATAAGCTGAACCAGTGGCTGCTCTTGCATCTAATAAGAAGAAAAAGTAAAAAGCAATGTATCAAAATCATATCATAGTTAAAATGCACTGATTTTGACACAATATAAGTACTTACTTTGAGGATTGCTGAAACCAAGTTGACGACAGACAACCTGTGCTTCCTCGCTGCCCCAGGATTCATCAGATATAATCCCCCAGTTATTGTAATAGCAGACCTCAACCGTGCCCTCTGAAGTTTTGTTAGAACCAACTAGACGCACATCAGAATCAGAGCAAGCTAAAGATCAAGAAATAAAAGAAGATGGTTCACAAGTTCTTTAATACTCACAAGCTTGACACGTAATACCAACGACATTCCCACGGGCACATTCAAAAGTTCCATACTCATCCTTTGGACATGAGAAAGTGGATAGCTCGTATCCCTGACATTGGAAATTAGAGAATATAATAGCACCATCTCCATCACCAAAATAAGAATTATTATAGACAGTTGGCTCTGAAAAAAATAATTTAAAAATAAAGAATTATGATAATGCAATAAATTACCTGCTTCTCCAAGTCCTAGTTGATTGCATACAACATAAGCATCAGTTGGATCAAAGCCAGTTGAACAGACACTGCCCCATATACTATTAGAACAAACTTCAAGTCTTCCTTGGGTAGAATATGTACCATTGGTGAGCCTGACATCACCATCAGAGCAATCAGAATGAGCTGCAGAAAGAGGAGGGCATAGATATTGAGATTATGAGATTTAAGTGTTACTTACTGTAGCATCTGAGTCCAATTGGGTAACTACAAGTGCTCATGCAACTGTCCACTATGTCACAGTTTGATAGTGAGATACCGTTAGGGTTAATGGCACAGGAGAACCTCTGGAACAAACTCGTGGTCATGTTACTACCTGGGACCACTTTACCAAATCGGCCATCAGTGAACACAGCAGTCACTAAAAGGTATTATAGTAATAATAATAAATAAAATAATTCTCTTACAATTAGTATCAGTGTATCCAAGCTGTCTGCATATAGTAGTAGCCTCCATTGGTGCTAGGTTACAGAGTGGTGACCAGGTCCCTTGATAACAATACTCCACATTTCCCTCGGGTATATCTGGTTTCCCTCCAGTTAGTCTAACTTGACCATCAGTACATGCACTACCAGTTACATTAGGAGGAGGGACACACTGATCAGGAGTATAGCACTTGACTCCAGCTACATCAGTAGTGGCCAGTAGTGCTTTCCCTTGAGTCAGTGGCAGTATATATGTTGTACAATCATTGATATTGTCCTCATTTCCTCCACAATTGACCTGGCTCAAGTGAATGGTAAAGTTGGTCTTGCCATATCTAGACTTGTAAGTAGGCAGTGACCCTATCAATGATGATTCTTATATAATATGATAGACCAAAAGAGGATTCAGTCACCTTCAGCTTCATATCCCAATTGTCTACAGATAACTTGAGCATCATTTCTAGTCCAGCCAGAATCAGATATTTGTCCCCAGAGATTATCAAAGCAAACTTGAACGGTTCCTTCATAATTCCATTGACTACCCACCAGCCTCACGTCACCATCATTGCAAGCTGCATAAACACTCATCAATCAATGACACAATAGTATAAGAGGCTTACCATAGCCACACAATACTCCAGCAACATTGCTACGAGAGCAAGCTGAGTTGGGGTAGGTCTGCTTGCCACATTGAGATAGACTGCTCTCCCAGCCACCACAGTTCATGTTAGTGTAGACAATTGGATAGACTCCATCACCAAATTCAGAGTTAGGGAAGACAACAGGCTCTGTAATAACAAATAAATAAATAAGTAAATAATGATTTTATCATCATTACCTAGTTCAGGGTGGCCCAGTTGTTGGCATACAACATGAGCATCAGTTTTATCAAATCCTTGATCACAGACAGATCCCCATACTCCATTAACACACACTTCTACTCTTCCCTCATTCTCTATATAGCCATCAACAAGCCTCAAGTTTCCACTAGTACACTTTCCACTATCTATAAATTAAAAATAATAATAATAATAATGACAAATTAACAATTATAGAGAAGAGGGATTAATCTTACCATAGCACCTTAGTCCTAAGTTACTTCTCCAGCAGAAAGGAGTGCAGGCTGTGTTATAATTGATAGTACACTGAGCCAGTGAACTCTCAAAGCCAGTGCAAGTTATATTATCAAATAAACTGTAGTTCAATAGTCTTCCAAAGGTATCATCTTCTACTATAGCACCCCCTGAAAGTTAACAAAATGATAAAATAATTAATATGTACATGCACTAACATGAGTAATCATTGTATCCTAGCTGCTTGCAAGCAACCTGAGCTACTAATGGATCCATCTTACAGAATGGCGACCAGTATCCATCTATACACATCTCCAATCGTCCACTCTGTGCATCTCCTCCAGTCAATCTCACGTCATTACTAGTACAAGCAGTAGCTCCTGTATTAGGAGTATCATATGAAGAAGGTCTCATAACGCAAGGAGGATCTGTAGGTGCATCGTAAATGCAGTCAACTCCAGCCACTTCATACTGCGATAGTACATTCACTCCATCATTGTATGAGTACTTGTACTGGCCACACTGAACTAGCTTCTTTTCATTTCCACTGCAGGTCATGTTAACGAGACGGAGTGGTCTACGACCTTTACCGTAGAATGAACCAGAACGAGCTACTGCAGCTATAAAAAGATAAATGAATAAATGAATAAGTAAATAAATGCTTAACTTACTGCTTCCTTCACTGGTGAAACCCAATTGATTACAAACAACCTGAGCATTAGTATTAGACCAGAAAGAATCAGCAGCAACATAACTCCATTGGCCAAGACAAACTTCAACAGTTCCTTCATTTGGGAATGGACCACCAGTTAGTCTAACACTACCCCAAGTACAATCTAAAAAAAGAGAATATTATTATTGTCATTATTATTTTATCAATGTTACTACTGCTTACTGTCTTTGCATACTAGGCCAATGGTCCACTGTGGGGCACACCTATAAAATGAAGGGAAGACTTGCTTCCCACACTGATCAAAGGAGCTCTCCCAACCCTGGCAGTTCACATTATTCAGCAGTACTGGCCCATCACTCTCTCCATGATAGGCAGAATATCTCACCCAAGGGTCTAATATTCATAGTACAAAGGAATACAATGGAATGAATATCAATAAAGAGAGCACATGCTTAGCACATGCAAACACAACTCACTTGCTCCGCTGTATCCAAGATGACTGCAGGCAACATAGGCATCACTCCTTCCAAAGTTAGCACCACAGACTCCACCCCAAACTCCACCCACACACACTTCCAGACGTCCCTCAGTATCGATAGGACTGTCAATGAGTCTCATATCACCATTGGTACATGTACCAGTATCTATTCATAAATTATTAATATAAATATTATTATTGATATTTGGACTACTTACTGTGACAGCCTACTCCATATTCTCTCCAACATTTGCCAACAACAATCCTACAGCCTCCAGTCAGTTTTTGAACTACATTACAATTGTCAGTGTTGTGGACTCCATTGGGACAACTGAGCCACTTGAAACTGCTGTACTTATTAGTATCACCATATCTCTGATCAGAATATATAGTAGCCACTATTGCAAGTACAGGTATATCAATCAGTAATTATTAGTTTATCATAGTTTTACCTGATGAGTTGTATCCCAGTGTTTGACAGATTGCTAGAGCAGTGTTGCTATTCATCTCACAGAATGGATACCAGAATCCTTCATAGCAAAACTCTGCTCTCCCTTGAGCTGGAGTCTCACCATTAACCAATCGAACTTGTCCATTAGTACACTCATTTCCTATCATTATCATTATTACTATTATACCATCATTATTATTGCTATACCTATTATTGGTGAGTAGCATACTAGTCCAAGCTGATCATGACCAGCATTACAACTGGAGTGATAGTAATAGCTGCATTGAGATAGGTCAGTGTGAGAAGAGGAACAAGAATAAGCATAATGATCAACAGTCCCATCATAGTAACCATAATGGTATTCTCCTCTTGTATCTATGCAAAACTATAATTAAAAATAATAGTACAATCTATTTACTCAATATTCCTGCATATCCGAGTTTCTTGCATATAAGTCTTCCATTGTCACATTTCCAGCTATCATCACAGACAGGCACCCACTGGCTGTTCTTGCAGTAAAGTGCTAAGCCATCGTGAGCAGGCCCAACTCCATAGGCCCTCCACAATTTAAAGGTACCAGATACACAGCTAGTTGTTATTTTTCCTATTAATAGAGCTCATTAGTATGCGTGCATGCATGGGTGCGTACCTGCACACCTAGCCCCAGCATCTTCACTGTGACTGCAACCAGAAGAACCTAGTGTCTTACCACATTGTGCTATGGTGCTCTCCGATGAAGTACAAGTCAAATGATGCATAACGATTGGGCCATATCCACTACCAAAAACTGAGTTATAATAGGCACCAACATCTATTAACAATAACAATAATATCAATAATAATAGTTATAATGTTTTTATACTATTTTTGGAGAATCCGAGTTGTGCACAAGCAACTTTAGCATCGTTAGTTCCCCATCCATCGTCACATATAGTTCCCCACTGTCCGTTGGAGCAGATCTCTATACGTCCTCTGTTATTAAAGGGTGTTCCTGTCTGGGATCGAATCATCCTCAAAGCATTATTAGAACAAGTTGGACCACCACCTTTGGGTAGAAGGATATTAAATATAATATAGATCTAATTTCCACCTACTTTGACACACTACACCGGCTAGAGCGTTGTGATTACATGTCACTGTACCAATTGGTGCTGAGGCTGCCCTGGGACATGCTAGTAGAGTTGTTTCTGCTCCTGTGCACTGAACTTTATCAAGCCATATTGGCTGACTAGCATTGGGCCAGCCATAGTATGCATAAATACGACTTATACCACCTATAGACCAATAATAAAATAATAAGGTATAGGCTAGATGCATATATACCTGGATCAGAGAAGCCTAGCTGTTTGCAGACTACCCTGGCATCTAAATTGCCCCATCCATACTGACAGACCCAGCCCCACGTATTGTTGATGCAGATTTGGACGTTTCCTTCCCACGGGCCAGCTCCGCCGTCCAGTCTCACATCACCATAAGTACACTGAGAAACTGGACACAAAATTAAGAATTTAGTACTGTGTAATGTTTTAGGCTTTTTTGCTCTTACCTGCTGCGGATAGTAGAGCTGCAAGGCAAAGGATTGCTAAGAGAGACTTCATGTTTTTCCCTGCAAAACAGTCGGTGAAATGATGGGTGGTCCAATATGAAAGTTAAATTCATTATTCTCATATGACAGACTGTAATTCATGCATATTATGCAATAGAGTTGGTTGCACTACTATAAATAAGCTTAAAAATAAATAATAAAAAACAAAGAACAATATAGCAACATCATGCTGTAGGCACACGATGAGTGGATAAATGCTATAGATAGTCTAATGGTATTTATAATAGTATTAATAATGTGTCAGCTATAAAATGTGCAGTGCAAGTTTGTGCATTGTATTAATAAGCAGCCGAAGTCCTTTCAGTTACATGTTATTCACTAGAGCCACTTTATCTCCATAAAGAGGATTCTCTGGTTTCTCCGCATTTGTGACTTCATCATAAATACCAGCAAGTGGGTTATTGACACCGGCCCTCTCTAGACCAGACATAGTTAAAGGAGCTGGTTCATCAGCATACATCATCTTAACTGAGAGATCACCTTTCTTACGTTTTACACATACATATACGGCAACACTAGAAATAAAAACAATAAATATACGAATAAATAATATAGCGGTATAAAATCAATGTTTACCTGATTGTTATTACTACAGATATGAGCATTATAACAATAATGACAGCCATTGAAACCGTCACTGGATTATTAGAAACAACAGACAATGGATCATTTGGATCATTAGTAACTTCATCAGGAACACACTTAACTGCTGCTGGATTATAAGTGGGGGCATTAGGATCAGCAATAGCAGTATCCACAATGTAAGTCAATGAACAGTTAGTTAGTCCGGTCTCGCTTCCCATGCAATCAACAGAGCTCAATTGGAATGGAGCATTAGGTCTCGTGTAAGAAGAACCAGAAGCAGCAGCAGCTCCTATATAAGCTAATCATTAATGTACATAAAACTGGTTCAATACTTGTAGTGTAGCCCAACTGAGCACAGGCAACTTGAGCCTCTTCAGTACTCCATCCTTCATCAGATACCATTCCCCAAGTCTCTTGATGACATACCTCAATGATACCTTCTGTAGTTGCTAGACTGTCTCCATTAACAACACGCACATCAGCATTGTTACAAGCTAAATGAACAAAGTTTATTACAATAATAATATTAAAACAAAACTAAATTGACTTACAGTCTTTGCACTTAACACCAACGACATTATCACGTGAACAAGTAAAGTATCCATAACTGGATCTGCTGCAGTCAAATACATTAGTCTCATAACCTTCACAACCAAAATCAGAGAATATGATAGCACCATCTCCATCTCCATACATTGCAGAAGTATTGTACACAGTTGGTTCTATGAAGGAACATAACAAGCAATAGTAATAGTAATAGTAATAGTTGTATATTATAGTACCTGCATCTCCAAGTCCTAGTTCATTGCATACAACATAAGCATCAGTTGGATCAAAGCCAGTTGAACAGACACTGCCCCAGTTACCATCACTGCATACCTCAAGCCTACCATCAGTTTTATAGGAACCATTGACCAGTCGTACATCACCATCACTACAGGAACTTGGCTCTATTATAAATAATAATTATTATACCTTGACTATATAATATTTTATTTCATTTACCGTAGCATCTCAAGCCAAGAGCATTAGGACAGCTAGTAATGCAAGCATCAGCAACAACACAAGTGCTCAGGTCAGTAGCAAAACGATCTGGACAACTTATATTCTGGAAATAGCTGGTGTTGGATATCTGACCAAATCTTCCATCGTCAAAAATAGCAGTCACTACAAAATAAATATAAACGTTATATTTTATACTCTTTATATAAAACTCTTACAGGTAGAAGCAGTATATCCAAGCTGTTTACATATAATGGTGGCCTCTACTGGTCCCAGTGAACAGAATGGTGACCATGTTCCTTGATAGCAATACTCTACATTACCCTCGGGTATGCCAGACTGCTTTCCACCAGTCAATCTCAACTCTCCATTAGTACAAGAGCTACCACCACCAGCAGGAGGAGGGACACACTGATCAGGAGTATAGCACTTGACTCCAGCTACATCACTAGTGGCTAGCAGTGCTTTCCCTTGAGCTAGTGATATTGTGCTAACAGTACAATCAGCAACAGAGCTCTCAGTTCCAGAGCAGCCCAGACTGGTAATATGAATGGTCTTTGCTGGTTTACCATACAGAGATCCTCTTTGAACAATAGTACCTATACAGACAACATTAATAAAGTATATATAATAGTTCAATATCTCATACCTTGTGTAGTATAGCCTAGTTGCCTGCAAGTTACTTCAGCATCAGTTTGAGTCCAGCCAGAATCAGCTACAAGACCCCACAAACGATCAAAGCAGACTTCAACAGTTCCTTCATATCCATACTGACTACCTACCAGTCTTACATCACCATCAGTACAGTCTATAAATGAGAGAGAATGATACAGTTACTATGAGCCAGTGTTATACTCAAGCTTACCATAGCCACACAGGACTCCAGCAACATTGCTCTGAGAGCAAGCTGTGTTAGGGTAGGTCTGCTTTGTACAATCACTAAGTGAATTCTCATATCCACCACAAGCAAAGTTGCTGTAGACTATAGGATACTGACCAGGACCAAAAGTAGAATTGTTGAGAACAAAAGGCTCTGAAAAATAAAACAAATATGAATAAGAAAGCTGCTATTATTATTTTATCATTACCTAGTTCAGGGTGGCCCAGTTGTTGGCATACAACATGAGCATCAGTTACATCAAATCCTTGATCACAGACAGATCCCCATACTCCATTAACACACACTTCTACTCTTCCCTCATTATCAATGACACCATCAGCTAGTCTCAGTGCTCCATTAGTACAGGAGCCAGGATTGAAGCACCTTAGTCCAAGATTATACCGACAGAAAGGAGTACACTCGGTGTTTTCAGCTGGAGTACATTGAGATAGTGAAGACTCTGACCCAACACAAGTTATATTATCAAAAATACTGTAGTTCCTGCTTGTACCAAACTCTCCACCTTCAACAATACTACCCCCTAAATAATATTAATTATTATTTTAAAAGTACATAATACTTACATGAATATTGTGTGAATCCCAACTGCCTGCAAGCCACCATTGCTGCCTTAGGGTCCATTTTACAGAATGGTGACCAGTACCCATTGTAACAATACTCTACTCTACCCTCACCACTGCTGCTACCACCTTGTAGTCTTACAGCTCCACTTGTGCACTCTGAACCAGCAGAATCATAGAGGGAAGGCCTAGCAATGCAAGGTGGGTCAGTAGGTACATCATATACACAGTCTACACTGGCCACTTCATTAACTGCTAGAGCTGCTTCTGCTTGAGTCTGGGAGTAAACTGTTATAGGACAATTGAGAAATCTTTTTTCAGTTCCAGTACAGTTAGCATTAATGTATCTCACTGCACGCCGTCCTTTACCAAAATGAGAGCCAAGCAATGGAGTAGCCACTAAAATATAATAAAAGTTATGAATCTCAGTTGGATTGGTAACTTACAGGCTCCATTAGGATACCCTAATTGTCTGCATATCACTCTAGCATTATTAGCAGTGAAGTTAGCATCAGATACATAGCTCCACTGTCTGTTGCCACAAACTTCAACTGTTCCCTCATTATCAAAAAATCCACCAGTGAGACGAACATCACCATTATTGCAGTCTATTTAAAAATTAAACAAAGTGCATTTTTGTACACTCTCTCTTACCATCTTTGCATATTAAACCAATAGCATATTGAGGACTGCAACTCAACTGTGGAAATGTTTGATAAGAACACTCAGCTACATTGTCTTCCCAGCCATGGCATATAATATTATTGTACAACATTGGGCCTGAGCTCTCGCCATAGAATGAATTACCCTTTATAGTAGGATCTGCAATATATCAACATTTAATATATAATAATTATTATAATATAATTACTGGGTCCTGTGTATCCTAATTCCTTGCAGGCTACATAAGCACTCTGTACAGGAAAGGTACCACAAGCACTACCCCAGACATTATCGAGGCATATTTCTAGAGTACCAGCTTGATCTATTGGCCCATTAACCAGTCTTGTTTGTCCATTAGTACAACCAACAGTATCTATTAATGAAAGAGACTAATACCTAACAACCAATAGCAACTTTATTAATAGTTTGATCTACATGCAATTTGTTACTTGAAATGTTAAGCAATAAAGTTGCATGTTTCTTTTCTCTGTTAATGTATATGCATTCTACTTACTGTGACAGCGTAGTCCCCATTCTGTACTACACTTGGCAACATTAATCCTACAGCTAGTCAGGCTTGCTGTTTTCCTCCCAAATGGACACTGTGATAAGTTTGTGTGAGATGAATTACAATTGACTGCATATAAACTGGATATGATACCAGTGCTGCCATATCTGGAATCACCAACAGTACTGGCAGCTAAAATATAACCATAACAAATAAATACATTTACAAATCATTACTAATTTAAGCTCACATGATGCATTGAATCCCATTGCCTTGCACATCAGTGTTGCAGTGTATGAGTTTAGTCCGCAAACTGGGTACCAGAATCCTTCATAGCAATAGTTAACACGACCCTCAGAATTATCTGGACCATTGACTAGCCTCACTGACCCATCAGTGCACTCATTACCTAGCAATAATAATGATAATATTAATAATAATCATTGTTACCACTACCTATTATTGGTGAATAGCAGACAGTTCCAAACTGGTCACCTCTATGATAGCAGTTTGAGTGATAATAGTATGTACATTGAGTGAGGTCAGTTGCTGTGGAGCTGCAGCTAAAAGCATAATGATCAACAGTCCCATCATAATAGCCATAGTGATACTCCTGTCTTGTATCTAAATGCATGCATCAAGTAAAAGTCACTCTATCTATGCTCAGATATGCTTACTTAATAATCCAACATAGCCAAGTTTTTGGCATATGACTCTACCAGTATCACAAAAGGTGTTGGTATCATCACAAAATGGGACCCATTGGTTGCTCTTGCAGTATAAGGCCACTCCATCATGGGCTGGACCAATGTCTTTATACCGCCATAGCCTCACCGCACCATTAGTGCAGCTACCAGTAACACGACCTGTAAATGATGCATTAATTTTTAACATTTTTATTTATTAGTATAATCATACACCACAGAGTATTCTTAATATTAGAAATATAGAAGCTTTAAAATCTTAAATAAACATGACACATAAACCATTGACTGAAAGCTACTGAAAATAGTATAGCCAAGCCCCTATAGTCATCAAAACTCTTCCTAAATTCACTACAACCAGTACATGCATATATCAAACATTAATTGCTCTATACAAACAACACAAATCAGCATAGAGTATACCTGAGCACTGGATTGAAGCATCATCAGCATGGGTGCAACCATAACCACCATTTAATTTGCTACACTGGAATAGTGTACTCTCTGATGAGGAGCATGCTACATACCGCCAGAGGATTGAGCCGTAACCCTGACCATACCTGGCATTAGCGTAAGCATAAGCATCTATAAAATAATAATAATAATAATTATTATTATTATTATAATGATGATGATGATGATGATAATGGCTTACAGTTTTTGGAGAATCCAAGCTGATAACAAGCAACCTTTGCATCACTTGATCCCCATCCATTATCACATATAGTCTGCCATGAATTTGAACTGCATATTTCTACTCTTCCCCTGTTGTTAAATGGAGTCCATGTAGTTTTATCAACTATACGAATGTCATTATTGGTACAAGAAGGACCACCACCTATTTGATAAGAGAGAGAGGTGTAAAATGTAGTCAGTGATAAAGGTATATCCAATCGCATACTTGGACACACAACTCCAGCTATTGCATTGTAACTGCATCTAACTGATCCAATTGCTCTTGATAGAGGACATGATAGAAGAGTGGTTTCTGTTCCAACACAGTCCATACCATCCAGCCATATTGGTATGCTGCTGTTAGGCCAGCCATAATAACCGTATGTCCTGTAGGTAGCACCTATACATAATGATATTTTTCAAAAACAGCAACAATAAATGATAGGCCTACCTGTAGCACTGAAGCCCAGTTGCCTGCATACAACTTGAGCATCTTCAGCCCGGTACGAGTTATGACATACCCAGCCCCAAGTTCCATTGATGCAAATCTGTACCTGGCCCTCATAGTTCCCCCTACCCCAGACGAGTCTCAGAGCACCATAAGTCGTGCAAGTGTTTTGCTCTACAGAAAGGAAGACGGTGCTTTATAATGTCAGTTTTACTCTTCTTACCAAACTGGACTCCTTCGTTATATTGTCCAGCTACAAAAGCAGCTCCGGCTAACAGCAAGAGGAGCGTACAAGCCAAAGGAGACATCTCTATTCTTCTTCTTCCTTCTTTCTGAAACAAGAAACGCAGAGCTAAGAATATGAATATCTGTACAGGTAGTCATGCGCATCACTTGTGCCTCTCGACAAGGTAATTCATCCATCTCTTGTGTGGCTTATGATCAATATTCATGTCGTGTTGACTAGCAACCAATCAGGAGTGAGTACACCCATTTCACAGCTCCAATGTAATCCATGTTAATAGAAAACTATTTTTAATGCCTGTCTGCTATAAACAGCTGGTTTAGGAGCTGTCTGTAGTGTACAAGTTCTTCAATAAAACAAACAATTTAATAATAATTAGAAAAATTATGAATAGTCACACAATGCCGCCACCATGTTCTTGAGAGAATTCTCATCAAATTTTAACATAGTGTTGAAGATCAACTAGAAGAAGAGAGTTAGTTCAAAATATTTAGACAGGTGCCTTCTCTCTCTCTTTTCCCTCCATTTCTAACCAGTATCAGGTCTGTCTTGAGAATGAGTGCTCTCTACAGGGATGCCATTCACAATACCAGCAGCTGCTTCGTTACTGATAGTATCACTACTGGATAGAGTTATATTACTCCTAAAATTGTATAGTTTACAGATTAAAAATAGCCATTATCAGTGTCCATTAAGAGAGGCTATACTAACAATGGAGTTACTTACAAACACAGAGATCCTTTATCAGTGTTTCCATCAATAGCAGACCTCCATTGCTGGTTTGTAGTACTGATAACATTATGAGCAAATGCCTGTAAAAGCAACAACAATAACAACAATAACAATTGGTATTAATGTCATTGCAATTATTATTATTATATATTACTTTATCTTTTGGTTGGGCATTAAATGCGAATTGATTCGGAGGTTTTCCAGTCGGCATTTTGTATATTTTGAACCAATTCACAGTGTGCTATGAGGGGGAGGGAGAGGGAGAGAGTGAGGGAATAATTTTAAATATTACTCAACCTGCAATAGTCCAGGCATGTGAGTCTCTACATCTCCAATATCTAATTAATAATAATAATAATGATAATAATAATAATAAAGACATACCATTAAGAGAGGCAGCCATCTTGTCGTTCACATCAATTGCAATAATCTTCCAATCAGTTTCGCCTAAAAACAACAAAACAAATAAATACAAACAATAATAACAGCATACCTTCATCAATTAGCGCAATAGTCCCTAAAACCTTTACTTGTACTACTTCTCCTCTTTTAGCAACTCGACTACCAATCTCACACACATCCAGAGGATCGTTATCACCTTTACAACCAGTGTTTGGATCAACATGGCCTGGATATTCCCACGTCTAGAGGGTGGGAAGAAAAACAAATCTTGATTTCTCCCCCCCCCTCCTCTCTCTCCATTACTTGTGGAAAGGCCCCATAGTTCCATATGTATCCGTGGTACGGGAAGCAGTTATCAACGAAACGTAATTTTCCTTTTTTAACGTCCTGCTTGATCGGATTTAACGGCTCTGATGTTGATATCTAAAAAACACGACATTACTAATTAAAATTTACACAAGCTGCCCATTAAAATTTTACTCAATTATTAGACAAAAATTTGGGTGATCATCTAATAAAATTGAACACGAATGCCCATTAAAATTATGCGAGTAATCTACCTCCATTTTTGCATTGGTCCACCTGGGTATCTCAACAATCATGTTGAGTACACTGTTATCACTGGAGGCGTAGAGTGGGATATCGTGAAACGGAGATACATAAGTATCACCTCTCTCTAATTAAAAACAAACAATAACAAAAAAAGCAAAACAACAATTTACTGAAGAATATCCTAGATTCAAGAGAATACGGTCTTCCCTTTCCTCTTTCTTCAGTTGTAAAAGTTGCCATTGGTCTTACAGCTGCTGATATCAGTAGTTTTGAAGAAGAGCCTCTTTTAAAAGGTGATAAAATTCTCGATAGACAAAAATTCATAAAAACAACACGAGCAAGGGCTTTAGGGCTAACACGTGGGTGCTGTTGGTACTGTAGCCACACCCACAAAATTAATTTTAAAAGATGTTTTAGAAATTTATTGGCCAAACAGAAAAGACGATGGTATTTTATCGAAAATGGCCAGAGAATTTTTATTGCATTTTCTGATGCATATACATGTACTTATATTGCATAGCAAGTTTGAGCTGATTCAGATCAAAATTAAAAATTTTTTTTTGCAAATTTTTGAAGTTTCTCGAAAATTGGTTAAAAGTCCCTGTACTATAGTACATGGTCTCGGGCCAATTTTGTCAAAAATGAAAAAGAGAGAATTTTCCATTTTTATTATATTTTCTAATGCATCTACATGTACTTATGTTGCGTAGAAAGTTTGAACTGATTCCGATCAAGTTTGGATTTTTTATGATTTTTTTAATTTGCTCCAAAATTGGACAAAAGTCTCTGTACTATAGTACAGGGATTTTTGTCAAATTTCACCAAAATTGACAAGTAGAAAATTCCCCAATTTTATTACATTTTCTGATGCATATACATGTACTTATGTTGTGTAGAAAATTTGAGCTGATTCCGATCAAGTTTGGATTTTTTATGATTTTTTAAATTTGCTCCGAAATTGAACAAAAGTCCCTGTACTATAGTACAGGGATTTTTGTGAAATTTCACCAAAATTGACAAGTAGAGATTTCCTCAATTTTATTACATTTTCTGATGCATATACATGTACTTATGTTGTGTAGAAAGTTTGAGCTGATTCCGATCAAGTTTGGATTTTTTATGATTTTTTTAATTTGCTCCGAAATTGAACAAAAGTCCCTGTACTATAGTACAGGGATTTTTGTGAAATTTTACCAAAATTGACAAGTAGAGATTTCCTCAATTTTATTACATTTTCTGATGCACATACATGTTCTTATGTTGTGTAGAAAGTTTGAGCTGATTTCGATCAAGTTTGGATTTTTTATGATTTTTTAAAGTTGCTCCAAAATCAGACAAAAGTCCCTGTACTATAATACAGGGATTTTTGTGAAATTTTAACAAAATTGACAAGTAGGAAATTCCTCAATTTTATTACATTTTCTGATGCATATACATGTACTTATGTTGTGTAGAAAGTTTGAGCTGATTTTGATCAAAATTGAATTTTTTACAAATTTTTAAATGGTCACGGGCCAAATTTTGTCAAAAATGAAAAGGAGAGAATCCTCCATTTCATACAATACATTTACACACATATAGATTATTAAAAATTGTATATATAGATGCAGTTTAAATACGAGCAGAGTCATAGTTCTCTTGAAACCATTGGACTGTCTCAAATATTCCTATAATGATGATAATAATAATAATTATTATAATAATAAATAAATAATATTACTTACCGGTTTTAATATCAGTAAATTTGAAGTCAGGATATAAAGATTTTAATTTCATGTTGCTTGCAGTTTTCTTGTACTGTCCATCAGACTTGCTAATATCATACTAAAGAATAAGATGGAAGAATATTAAACTTTGGGAGAGAGAGAGAATTATCTTACAATAACTTGTCCTTTAAACTCCATTCCCTCCACAATGAGCTCAGCTACTCTACTAATAGACACCTCGTCTTCCTCGCCAACTGTTACCATGCCAACCAATAATTAATAACTATTAATTAACCAACCTGATAATATAATTGGATCAACGTCTTCGTAATTTCGTAAAACCCAAACAAAAAGTTTAGCAAGGTCCTTAATGACTATTCATAACAAACCACACCCACCTAATGTACCTTCGAGTAGATGAATTGTCTGAGAGGTTTACCACTACCAAATATGGTCAACGGTTGATCGTTCTCTAATTAAAAGAATAAAGCCGGAAATATTGAAATGAGCATAGTACTTTTAGCTAAATAGCACTTGTGTATAAGACCGGGTATGACGTGACTGTCTTCTAAATTAAAGTTATCACAAGGGCCATAGATATTAGTTGGGATAACACTGGTAAAGGTACAGCCATACTGGTCATGATAGGCCCTGGAGAAGAAGGCAAATAAAATATTTACTTTAAAAAGGTTTGATTTTCACTGGTTTTGTGCTTAAGATTTGCAAAATTAAAATGAACGAAAATCTAAATAATACTTTACAAGATCGCCAAATGCTTTGATTTTCATGTAAGTTTAACCCCTCAAAAGTTTCCAGCTATTCTATATAATTATACGGTATTCCATTCCCTCACCTGTTCTGTATGTCTATCATTCTTTTGGCGTATGCATACCCATAATTAGATGGGTGTGGCGGTCCATTATGAACCTAATGAATAAGTAATTAATTAATTAGTAGGTGGAGTTCCTGTACCATTGTTTCGTCAATCGGATAAGACGTTTTATCCGGAAATATACAAGTAGATAGACAAGAGACACACTTCTGGATCTAGCAAAATTGTATATTTATTATTATTATTAATTTATTTTACTTTAAATTCGTAGCTGCAGTGTAGTACACAGTCATTAATTTGTAAATTTATTCTCTAAAAAATTAATTATAATAAATTGTCTGTAATTGCAACAAACTCGTCGCTAACTAGAAAATCGGCCGGTCTCCTCATATTTTTAAACAATCCTCCAACCATGGCAGCTAAATGGATCACGTGAGTCGGTCTGTGCTTTGAAAAGATGCTCCTAGTCTCCTCTAAATCGCTAAAAATAAAAGGAATGAGGATACAATGTTGCTTCTTTCATGCTTCTCAACCTCAGGTCGCCATCTTTTGATGACAGAAAGATCCATTCTTCATTTGGCTCCTTCTCCTTCTCAATAATCTCTTGAATTGCCTTCCCAACGAGTCCTGATCCTCCAGTTACTAAAATCCTCTTCTCAGCAGCCATTACTGCTCCAGATACTGACAAATACGGAAAGAATACGAAGCAAGTCAACTTCCGGTTCAAGTGTTGCTCTAATTAACGTTACCATAGCAACAAAATTAAAGAGGTAGGTGTGGCTGCTCCAGCAAGAAGTGTGATTCTCCATTTTCTCTCTCTTTCTCTTTCACAATAGATGACAGCAAGACCTACCAGTGCTCCTAAAGTCCTCCAACCAGTAGGAGGTCAGTATCTCTATATAATGCACAATAGAGGCACAGAGAATGGCTCAGAATTCATTAAAGTCTCATTATTATAAAATATTTATTGTGTTACTGGTATTTCTGCAGGTGATGAGTCAACTGCTGCTGCTTCTGTTAGTTGCTGTATGAGACAGGAGCTGTCGCTCTCAAGACTGCACCAATCACTCCAACAACTGCAAGAGTCTTTAGTGGATAAAGTAATTATATAATAAATATAATTAATATTTATTATTAGCATTATGATTATTATACAATATACTAGAGTAGGAATATTTATGGTTTTACACACTTTATTTATCTGTTAACTAATGCTAATGTGAATCTTGAATGGTGATAATTAGCGGCTCTCTCTCTCTCTTTCTCTCTCCCCCCCTCTCTCTCTCTCAGGATTACAGTATTCAGTCTTTAAACGATGAAGTCTCAAGGCTCTCAGTTTTTGAAAAGGAAAGCGAACGAAAAGATAAAATAATTTCAACTTTGAGAGAAGAAATTGCTAAACTGCACAAATCCAACATGGAGAAATGCATTAAGTAATTAATATTAATAATTAATAAAATAGCAATGAATATTAATGATATTTTGCAGACTAAATCCAGTGATGGAAGAACTGAAAAGTATTAAAATATTAATACAAGAGAGAGATGGGGAAATTGATGCATTACAAACTACCGTAATTAATTAATTAATTATTATTATTATTATCATTATTATTATTATTATCATTATCATTATTAATAGGTCAGTGAATTAAATGATAAGTTAAGTAGATCAAGACAGCAGGCAGCTGCTCTTCAGACTCAACTATCACACAAGAACTCTCTCCTAGCGACACAATCGGACGAACTGAGGACTTTAAAAAGAGAAAAGAGACAGTGCGATGATCACATCAGCTCAGCCAATGAATTCAGCAAAGAGAAGCAATCAACCATCACCTCACTTAATGATAAAGTAATATATATGGAATATATTTATGATATCTCCTATGTTATATTTCTTAGGTTAAAAGATTAAAGACAGCCAATCAAGATTTAACCCAGGTTAATAACTATTAATAACTATTAATAACTGTTAATAACTAGAGGGTGGAGTCCACTCAATTGAAATATTCTCAAAGCATTGAAACTGAGAAGCTGTTACGAGATGAGATACAACAACTGAAAGGGAAATCAAGCCAAGTAATGATGTCATTATTGCATCATCTTAATTCGTTACTAAAAATAGATCAAGCTCCAGTTGTCCAATACACAGGATCAACTTCAAACAACAAAAACAACAAACAACAGGATAAACAACGAACTTGACAAAACAAAAGAACAAGTAAATAAAAATTAAATAAAATTACTTTTATCTTCTTTCTTTCCTCTCCTAGTTGGAGCAGTTATGTCATCAGTTACGAGGGCTGGTCTGTTTAGAATCATCATCTAAACTCTCACTCTCTCCGGACGTGATAGTATCAAACGTTGACTCTATAATCAAAGAACAAGTTCAACTGAAGAAGAACCATGAACAGCTTGAAGAAAGACACCAAGAGGTATACTGAAAGATTACTGAGTTTTACTAAGAGTATACTAGGCATGCGAGAGACTTGCAAGTCTACAAAACGACGTGAAATCTGTTTCAAGATGTCTATCAAACATTCAAGTAATTAATAATAATAATTATTATTATTTTTATTATTCTTCTCAGCCTCTTTCTCCCCTCCCATCAGTCGTCTCTACAATACAGAGCTCAGTTAATGATATTCATGTATCGGATGAGGGCGTGTCCCTTATAGTCCAATGCCTCACTAACCTCTGCAGTAACGTCCAATCACTGCAGACCAACATTGAGCACATTAATAATGCATTGAAGACAGGAATGAAGAGCTTGTTACCTGATAAACCTATTAGTGATAAAAGTACGACTTTGTTGTTGTTGTTATTATTGTTGTTGTTGTTATTGTTTGTTTGTTTTTAGGTATTGATGCTTTGATTGATTGTTTGTTGGAAGTTACTAGAACTAATTTATCAAAGAATGAAGCACAGCAGCTCCAGTAAGTTGATTAGTGATTGTTTTATTCCAGCACTTCCTCCTCTCTCTCTCTCCCCCTTTCTTGTAGGATTGTAGTCCTCACTGAAGAGAAAGATGCAGCCATTAAAGAGAGAGAAGCAAGAGTTCGTGACGAGTGCAACATTGAGCTGAGGGATAGATTAGGAACACTGCGTGAAGAGGAGAGGATCAAAAGAGAAAAGGAAAAAGACGAACTAGTTACAAAAGCACGTGAAGAATTGAAAGAGACGAATGATCAAAGATTGAGCGAAATCAAATCACTGAGACAAGAATTGAAAACCAAAGAAAAGGTGATGAGAACTTAATTATTAATAATTGTTACTTTTAATGCAGGAGCTGGAGACTAAATGTGAAGAAATAAAAGAATTAAAAATTAACTTTAATGATCTCACAATAGCAAATACCAACCTCATTAACGAGCTGGTAAAAGAATATAATATTTATTATTATTATTATTATTATTATTATTATTATTATTATTATTATTATTATTATTATTATTATCAGGGTAAATTGAAGGCTAGTTTGCATCATGAAGAGAAGGAACACAGCGACACTCTGATACTAATAAAGACTCAAAATGAAACGAGAGAAATGGACATTAGCAGAACACTACAAGAATATAAAGTAATTGATCATTAATTATTTATTTACTTATTTATTTATTTATTTACTTATATATATATTAATTTATTCATTAAGATACAATGTCAAGAACATGCCAGTACTATAGTGTCTCTGGAAGGTAAACTGATTGGAGCATTAGAAGAAGGAACAAGATGGAAAGAGAGAGAAATGAATACTCAAGAGAAGCTAAAGTCACTTCAAAATGAACTAGGTAACAGCTAAAGGAAGTACATGTACAAGTACTTGTAGTTTTAATGATATTCATTGCTGTTATGGTGTCTGCCCCACGATAGCCTCACAATGTTAAAATGGTTTATAAGGACAGAGTTGAAGGTCAAAATGATAAGGCTCAGAAGTCAGCAATTTCAGTCTTGACACAATTTTTTGAAGGGATTCTCTGTCCCTGATATCATTCACATTAGTTATAAATAAATATTTTTGTTAGTTAAAAACAAAAAATGACAAAATGACATGGACAGCATGCAATAGTCCATCCTTTCAACATTTAAAATTAGAAACACAATTTTAAGCATAAAAAAGTATATCATATCTTGCTCCTACTTGTTTCTTACTTGTAGAGCTGTTGCAATCTTCCAGTGAATCGTCTCAAAGTAAAACTAACAACATTCTACAAGTGTTGAGGTACGCACATGTACATGTACATTTGTTGCTATGGTAACCAATGTATCCCAGGAGACAGCTGGTGCATGCTAATGAAAGCTCTGACAAAGAGAGAGAGAGAGCGAGAGAGGTTGAACTGAAAATGGAAGAAATGAAAGAAAAGCAAAAAGAAGAGATTGGTAAGAGCTAGAGTGGAGAAGATTTTACTTCTTAATATTTTTAGATAAGTTAACGTCATCTCATAAAGATCAGATCAGTGATTTGAGATCTCAGCTAGCTCAACGAGAATCAACGCTAGCTGAACTCTGCCAATCTGCTACAAACAAGACTCCACCCACTGAACCACACCCCAAAAAATCACCAGAAAAATTAACAGTCGAAGAAGACCACACCCATTTATCAAAAGAAGAGGAAGAGGACACGCCCCCTGATGTGTTGGTTGCCGTTGGTCACCGTTGTCTTGGTGACAATCACCAAAAAGTGATTGATAGTCAGAAACATGCCCTCCACGAGATGAGACGAAGAATAGACGAACTAATGAGGACACACCCACCTGGTAATGACCACGCCCCCTAGTTATTAATAGTTATTAATAATATCATATAGTGCCCAGTCATCAGGCCGCATTGAAGGAATTAGCTAAATTGAGACAAGAACTGATTGAAATGAAGACAAACGAAATCATGAGGAAAGAGGAGGAGAACAGGAAAGGGGTGGAGTCTGTTGCCATGGAGATTGGTCATGTACCTAGCAGAACGCTGAGTCAGTACGAGTTAGAACTGGAAGAAGCTTTGCAAGACAGTGAAGACGCTGTATGATAAGATCAAGGTTCTTTAAATATTTTTGTCTTTCTTTACTAGTATAATAACCTGTTGATGTTTTTGTCTGAAAAGTTGCACATTCCGAACATGCCTGACTTTAAGCCGCTAGGAGGTGTGAATAAGGTTGCTAGGCAACACATCCTAAAGGAGAGAAACGAAGTGCGAAATATTAAAAACATTAATTTATAAATTATTATTAATTAATTAATAGTTTATTGAAGGATCATTGAATGAGGCTTTGACGGTAGTCAGGGCCAGACATAAACCAGTTCCTGTAACCAGTCAAACTGGTCAGACCAGTAGCGAGAGACCTAAGAGTGCTAGTGTACCTCAACCTGTACCTGTTCCAGTAAATATAAAATTATTTTATTTATTTATTATAATTTATTAGGATTTGAGTCCTTATGGTGTCTATAATAATGAAGTTTTGGAGCGATTAGACCAAGAGAAAAGACTCCAAGAAGCAATGGCTAAAAGAAAAGTAGCTTATTTTAGTTTTTATGCAAGTTTAATATTTTTCAAAGGAATATAAATCGTCCAAGCAAAGACACAGAAGACGTTCCCATTCTTGTATGTTGACAAGCGAGGAGGTCCAGCACAGAGTAAATATAGTAGCAATTAAAGATGATGTAATGCCCTCTGTTACTATTAATAGATGGATCAGGTACGGAGGCTGTATTCTCAGAAATTGGACAAGAAATCGGCAGAAATAGATCACTTAAAACAAGTCAGGGAAAGAGAGAAAGTTTAGTAATGATTGTTTTAATTCTTTGTACTGTAGGAGTTGAAGTCTAGTCAGCAGGAGAATGAAAGTTTTGCTTCAAAAATGAAAATATTACGAGGAAAATAACTAATAAATAATAATTATTATACAAAATTTGTAGCAAACAATTCACTTAATAAACAACAACAACAACAACAATACTAGTTATACAAAAACAACAACACTAGTTATTGTGTTTCCTTCACGTCAAGGTCCTTTACCAGCTGGTTATGCACTTCCATCAATCCCTTGAAATACTTAACCGTTTTAACTCTCAGCTCTAACGTAGCATCTTCATCACAGACTATGGTACACTTTTTATGATATTGGAAAGCAGATACTGTCCACATATGACTAACACCTTCCTCAACTGCTTTATACAAAGCAAAGGATTTATGAGCACCTGTGATAACTATCATCACCTATAGGATAGTTATTAATAGTTATTAAGTACTAGTTATTAATTACAAGTCACGCCTACCTCTCTGGCATCCATTACAGTCCCCACTCCGACTGTTAGTGCTGCTTTGGGAACTTTAGAAATATCGTTACCAAAAAACTTTGCGTTAGCGAGTATCGTATCAACGGCTAGGGACTTGATACGAGTCCTAGAGGACAGTGAGGACCCTGGCTCATTGAATGCAATATGGCCGTCCGGTCCAATACCTGTGAATGCATGAGTGAACGCATGTACGCATATCATTATAATAGCTATACCTCCGATAAATAATTCAACTCCTCCCACTTTCTTAATTTCTTCTTCAAATCGGTCGCATTCAGCTACAAGATCGGTGGCGTTGCCATCCAATATGTGGGCGTGTTCGGGTTTAATGTTAATGTGCTTGAAGAAGTTGTCCCACATGTAGCTATGGTAACTCTCAGGATGCTCCACTGCTAGTCCCACGTACTCGTCCATGTTAAACGTGATCACGTGCTCAAATGAGAGCTGACCCTCTTTATGGAACTGGATCAGTTTCTTGTACATGCCTATTGGGGTGCTGCCTGTGCGTGGGTGGAGGAAAGGGGCGTGGCTCAGTCTTTTAGTAATTTTTATTGGTTACCTGTTGGTAGTCCTAGTACAAAGGGTTTGTCCGGTCCAGGATTGAATTCTTTTATTCTGTTCCTCACGTATTTTGCAGCCCATTCGCTTGCAGAATCATAATCGTCCAAGATTACGAGACGCATCTTACCCCTTGCTGGTTATTAAAGCTAGTTAATTAATCAGTAGTTAATAAATCAGTTGTAGGTGTGGTTAAGTTGTATCACGTGATCTTCAAAACAAAATGGCGGCCGTCTCTTGGAGATTGACATCTGTTTTAAAGTCCTCCTTGTGGAGCTCTAGAGCTATTGGTCCTTTATTTAGAGGAAGAGCAATCACTAGTAAGAGAAGGATAAGGGAAGGAAAGAGAGAAATAAACCATAGAAGCTATATAAAGAGGATTGTACTCTTCAATATTGTTGTAAATTTGTGATGCTTTATTTGTAATAGGATATTATATACCTCAAGCCACACCCATTTTGTATCGTCAGTATTCTAGTAAAGACATTGAAGTAACTCTCACGCCGGAAGAAAAGAAGATTAGTGATAGAATGGACCGTGGGTATATAAGGAGGTTCTTTGACTGGATGAATTCTGACCCTGAACCCATTGAAGAAGTGAGAGAATGATATTTACATGTACATGTACACCTCATTTTATTATACACGTAATTTATTAATGTATTTTGCAAATTTAGATTTTTTATGAATTTTATAGTTGCTCCAAAATGGGCCAAAGTCCATGTACTGTATTATATGGTCTTGGGCCAAATTTTGTCAAAAATTAAAAGGAGAGAATTCTACATTTTAATTACATTTTCTGATGCATATACATGTTTTCATGTTGCGTAGAAAGTTTGAGCTGATTCTGATCAAAACTAGATTTTTTACAAATTTTTAAAGTTTCTCAAAAATCGGTTAAAAGTCCCTGTACTATAGTACAGGGTCACGGGCCAAATTTCGCCAAAAATGAAAAGGTGAGAATTCTCCATTTTTATTACATTTTCTGATGCATATACATGTACTTATGTTGCGTAGAAAGTTTGAACTGATTCTGATCAAAATTGGATTTTTATGAATTTTAAAATTTTATTGTATTATTCATTGCACAGGTGTTTAGTGAGGAAGAGAGATTAAAGAGAGAAGACTTAGACAGAAGAGTAAGTGTAATCAATAATAATCATTTTTAATTATTATATCATTATAGTTAAACGAAATGCTTTATTCTAATCCACCAATCAAACCTGATCTAGCCTTCGTAACAGAAATGATAGAGACAATGATGACTTTTAATGACAGGTATAATACTAACTTAATAACTTACTCCACCCATGGGTGGAGCATACTATTTGTAATTCCATTGGTATCATTGTAATGAAGTTAATGGTTATATCTACATGTAAATACTGTTTTACAGTGACAAGTATTGCATACTTTTTTATCCCTTCCCTTAGGATAGCTGTAGAGAATTGGTACCTTGTAATGCCGGAATTAAAACTAACACCTGACAAAGAATTCAAGGAAAAGGTAATCCAAACAATCATCATTATTATGCCACAACCCAAGATTTCAAGATTGTTGCAATAGTTGTTGAGTCATGTATTGTATTGTATTTTGTTAGTTTCTTCTCTTTCACTTCCTCTCCCTTCACTAGGTGGAGGCATATTTGGAAAAGGCTCATAGAGATTCATATTATGAGTAGATGATCACAAGCCAGCACACACACATAGACAATGATATTTAATTTATTAATAATAATAACAGAATAACAGAATGAGGTGACATTTTCTCACTTGGCCAATTTTAGATCTACATTTGTATTTTGACCATTTCTTTATGTTGTGCCTGCTTAGATCATTTACATCGTATACTATAGTCTTCACTCTTAAGGTAATTTATGTAGCTCAGTTTACTAGAAGAATTTGAAGCATTAAGGGGGCTGCTCAAAAAATATATATACTTGTTTATTTTATAAATTTCATTACCGTTACATCATCAACGTACTTGGCCCTTACGAATGGCGTCATTCCATAGCAAGAGTACTCCCGAGTATGAGGTCCTTCATGAGTATCTCCACAAAATTTGCGATGTACTTAGCAACCTTCCTGATAGCATTACCCCTCTAGCTAGAGACTTCTGTGCCTCTGACATTATATCATCAACTACAATGAGTAGTGCCTCCAACACAACACAGGCTCCCTATTTTCGTGCTAATGCAATCATGACTGCTGCTCATGTAAGTGTACAACAGGATCCAAGGAAGTTTGATGCTGTGTTAGAGAAGCTAAGTGATCAGGGGCTTAGAGGGCTTGTAAAGGAAATGGACCAGAGACTTGGTAAGATCATGTAGTCATCATGCATTTTTTCGAGTCAGTTTACTAAGCTTAATTAAAGGGACACATTCACGGAAATAGAATGCACACGTTACTGTAGAGGAAGTAAACATTAAATTGGGCGTGCAACAGATCATTAATTAATAGTTATGGCACGTGTTTAGACACGCGTAGAGAGTAGAGACAGCAATCAGTCGCAGAACCAGGAGTAGGCATCTGTAGAACACTTCTCTCGAACAGAATTAGCTCTTTTGCCACCCCAAGATACTCTTTTTAGTGAAGAAACACCAGGAATATTTACAAGTAGCCACTCGAGTAGCCATTTTGCCTTAATTATTAGGGGCGCGGCCGCACGTTATGAATAGTTATCAACACTAAACGTCATCATTAATGATGTCATCTTGAAAAACGGGCCAGTTTTTCAAGATGACGTGCTTCCGTGCATGTGTCCCTTTAATTCATATAAATTTTTTAAATGCTAATTTTAAACTTGCATGATTCATGAGGCCATTGTATAGATCTAATAATCTTTTGATTTATAATCATAGAAAACCACAAATCTCTACACAAACGAGATCTCAAAATCAAACGAAAGATGAAGATACTTGTGGTTGGTCACAATGGAAGTGGAAAGTCTTCATTGATCAATGAAATGCTGGGGAAGAAAGTAGCAACAGTTGGTCGGTCAGATCAGCAAACTCGTCATGATCCAATTGAAAAGCACAAATGCAAAATTGGAGACGTAGGTGTCACAATATTTGATACACGAGGATTTGGTGACCCTTCAGTAACTGACTGGAAAACTATGGAGTCTATTACTAAAATCAAAACTGTAGACGTGGTGCTGATATGTCACAAGCTGTATGACAGGATTGATGATGCAACCGTAAAAGAGCTAAAAGTCCTTGTTGACAACATGGGTAACAATTTGATTGATTTGTCTGTTCTTGTCTTTACTTTTGGTGATGAATACCAAATGAGATGTGAACCTGAGTTTGCTACTGATGGTAGCTTGACAGAAGATTCAAAGGAAGAAATTAAGGATGAATTGGTGGCACAGCGGGCAAGAATTGAACGCAGGATAAAAGAAGTGCTTAAAGAAATTGGTATAAATGAAAGGGTTGCTAACAAAATACCAAGCTGCATAACTTGCGGAAAGAAAAAGAAAGATGGCAAGCGAAAGGAGTTACCTACAAGTGATAATTGGATTAAAGAACTATGGGACTTATGTGAGGACAGATGCAAAGATGAAGCAAAACCGTTTGTTCGTTCAATAAAAAGCAAGATCTGGGAAACATTAATGATGGGTGGGCTAGGAGGAGGAGCTGTTGGAGCTGTTGTTGGTGGCGTTGCTTCAGGAATTCAAGCAGGTGGTGCTCTCGGTACTGCAGCTACACCAGGACTTGGTACCTTAGCCGGAGCTGTAGCTGGTGGAGTCATGGGTGGAGCAATTGCTGGGGGGATTTATGGTGCTGGTCTTGCTGGTGTTGGTGCTGCAGCCGTAGAAATTGGTGTTGCAACCGTCGGAATTGGAGCTGGAGTTGCAAATGTAGTACAGAACAAATCTGATGAAAGTGATTGAAAAACCTCAAGACTTTTTAATAGCTAATGAACACAATACAGTTATTAGTGACTTAGTTAGTACTCTTAGTGATTTATTTCCTCTTGTAAGTTTAATAATAATAACAATAGTGATGTGCTACAAGTTAAAACATTTTAAGTCTTTTCTCCATTACTGCACGTCCATTGACCAGCACAGGAGAATCAGACGGATCTATAAATAGATACAACATGACATCACATTACATCATATTATGACATCACTCACTGTCTAACAGTTCTTCAACAGAAATGGTCTCATCTTGACCCAGCAATGTCTCCAGTGCAATCATACTGCTCTCTAATGGAGGAATACGCTGTATCTGAAGGAGAGGGAGGGATAGAAAGGAACGAGTAAAGTAAATGAAACCATAAATCTGGTGGTTATAAAATGCAGGATGGAAAATTTAGATATTGAAAATTTTTATATGCTGCCCATTTATCCCAATATGTTAATAGACCACCCTAGGCGAGAATTGAATGCGTAGGAAGATTATTAGAAATTTTTACGGTTGTAAGGCGTGGTTTAGAATGAAATAAATTCCGGCCGCCATTTTGGTTGGCAACTTTCAATGGAGAACAAACGGGCCGACATAAAAACAAACCTGTATTAAGATTTCTGGACCAAATTTGACCAAATCCTTGACAGGAGAAGCTTAGAGGCAGCTGTTCTTTCTTATAGCAAGCGCTTTTTAGCTATTGATAGAGCTACAGCAGGTAAGTGAGGCATTTTCTTCGTGCCTCCATTGACTTCCATAATAAACTTGCCAACCAAAATGGCGGCCAATTATGATGTGTGGGCAGGTACCGTATATAAAATTAATGAAATTCATAACTTTTCCAATTCACGCCTAGGGTGGTCTATACTGAAACGAAAAGGATTTATTAGCAATTCTAAATTTAGTATGTCTCATTGCTATACAAAATTACATAACTCAAAATAAACATGATTTTATGGTATGCCTTTACTTTGCTACAGGGGCGTAGCTGGACCTTGGGTGATGGTAGGGCAAGGAGACAAAATGGCGTGCGAAGCGCGCCGCGATTTTGGCCACACCCCTTTTACGCAGCAAAAGGGAAGCATTTTTCTGCAAGCTGAGCGAAATCAGAGTGAAATTATCATTGTATATAGCTTTAAAAAGAGCTGTGGTTATCAGCCACCCCCTTTTGTTATTGTAAGAACAATGAATATAATTTTTTGGGTTATAATTTCAATGAATATAATTATAAGGCCACTTTGATGGTAGGGCCCAGGCCCCCTCAGGCCCTACCTCAGCTACGCCCCTGCTTTGCTAGCCATCTTTCTCTCCATTTCCAACCTCAGAGGAGCATGTAGTCCTTGACTGTTACGCAGCGACTGCATTACAAAAGCCTCATGATTAGCAGCAAACTAAAAATAAATTAAGTTAAAAATAGAATCATTGATTGAGGCTATGAATAAATATGAGATCAATGAATATTAATGAGGTTGGTTTGCTTCACTTGCTTCAAGTGGGTTTAAACGGAAATTATTTGATTGGATGAATTCTGACCCTGAGCCCATTGAAGAGGTGAGAGAGAATGGCATTTACATGTACATGTTATTTTATTATTATATATGTAATTTATTACTGTATTATGCAAATTTAATTTTTTTTAGTAATTTTAAAGTTGCTCCAAAATGGGCCAAAGTCCCTGTATGTAGTACATGGTCATGGGCCAAATTTTTGTCAAAAATGAAAAGGAGAGAATTTGCCATTTTTACTACATTTTCTGATGCATATACATGTACTTATGTTGCGTAGAAAGTTTGAGCTGATTCTGATCAAAATTGGATTTAAAAAAAATTTTTTTAAATTTTATTGTATTATTTATTGCACAGGTGTTTAGCGAAGAAGAGAGATTAAAGAGAGAAGACTTAGATAGGAGAGTAAGTGTAATCAATAATAATCATTTTTAATTATTATATCATTATAGTTAAATGAAATGCTTTATTCTAATCCACCAATCAAACCTGATCTAGCCTTCGTAACAGAAATGATAGAGACAATGATGACTTATAGCAATTGGTATATGGGATGCTATGTGTAAGTGCTGGCTATTGACAGGCAAGGCTGGTTGTTGCGCCCAGAGAGAGGGAGATCACTATATACCTCGTGTTGACACCCAAACACTGATCTTTAATAATACAGCATGCAATATATATACAAAATAAGATCATGAATATTTATGAGTTCTGTGATGTCACTACAGTACTCCCCCGCCAGACGAACAGTCGATACAAATGATCAAATATAGAGTCGATCAGGAAAACGAACACATCGACCAGAACAAGTAACGTTGGTATCCAAGTGAGTACCGTCGGTCTCCAAACAACTAGTGTTGGTATCCGAGCAAGTACTGTTGGTCTCCAAACGTGCTTACCACGAGCAGCAGTCAAAGGAGTATAGTCGTCAGCAAAATGAAGTGACTG